GGGAAGCGAGTCATTAGAGTAATATCCGATAATTTCTAGATCCATCGTGATTTAGTAGCTGAGGCTTGGATTGTTTCAAGTGTGACTCTTATGAAAGATTTGTTAAATGAAACACGTATGTGTGTGTTTTAAAGTTAAGGAATGCAGTGAATCAAACTCGGATTTGTACTAACTGTTGACAGATGCCTGAAGTGTTGTGGTCATATCATGGAGCTATAGCTCGATGGTCATATACTCTTGTGTGGGGAACTGAAGGCGCTGGCTGGTTTTCATCATTTTGGGGAATAGGATAACACTGAAATGGAAATCTTTTAAATCAAATAAACCGGAAGTTTACGGAAACTAGGTACATATAATTATAAAGTTAAACAGAGAAATTGAACCGGCGACTTCCAGAATAATAATAATTATACCGGAGACTTACATGTACATGTACATAGCGCACGTATCTACCAACAATTAGGTACTCAAGGCGCTGGAAATTATGTCTATTATTAAAGACAGGTTTATGAGAAATACAAGACCCATTATGTAGCACCTTATAAGGGTATACAAGGTGTTGCAGCCACTGCCAGAAACACCGGGCAAACCCCTTCTCTTGGTGATAAGTGTTACTGGGTTCTTTAACGTGCATTTCACAACACACGGGACCTACGGCTTTACGTCCCATCCAAAGGACGAAGCAATGATGGTAAAGTGCCTTGCTTAAGGGCACAAGCACCATGTTTCCAAAGTCAGGATTCGAACCCATGTACCACGGCATGCGAGTCGAACACCGTAACCGTTGGACCACAGCACCCATACTAGTGCTCTACCAACTGAGCTATCCAGCCCTATGTTGGCGGTTCCCCAATTTGTCAGTGTCTTTGTATAAGGGGGTGCAAGTCATAAGCCAGTTCGCAGGTTCAAACCGAAGTGCAGTCAATTTCTTTCTCAAAATTAAAATTGAAATCTTTGAAACTTTATAATCCTCTGAGTAAAGTTGAGATTTTTCCCCCCAGTTTCTTTTTCCTTCTGGATTGGAGGCCAGCCCATTGCATGTTACCCTGCAACTACAGTGAAATCTCCATAAAGTCAAACCTCAAGGGAACAGGTTCAAAACTTAACTTAAGCAGAGTTTTGAGTTAAGCAGGGTTGTATATCATATCCTACTGAAGGGAATGGATTCTTTGTTTGACTTTAATTATTTTGCGTTATCAGAGTTTGACCGATCGAGATTTCACTGTAGCAGCAATACCGATTGATTTGCCCGGTTGTAGAAATGAAAGTTTCTGGTAATTCGTTTGTTTATTTTTTTATGTGATGGGGTGAAGTGCCAATATGTAACCCATTTAGTCTTTGTGTACCTTCCACCCAAAAGTGCCCTGCCTATTACTCTTTTTTACCACCCAAACGGCCCCAGGACACTATGGTATTACAGATTCATTAAGAAGTAAATACAGTGTAATACAATGTAATATAAGTGCAAAAGGGTTATTAACACAGCACCTGGGCAGCAGCTGGGTTCAAACCCATGACCCTCCCGTCACTAGTCGCAAAACATACCAACTAAAGTAAACCCTACACTAGTTGCATTATCCCAATGAAAAAGAAAAATCGCAATCACCATTTGAGTCCAGTATAAGCTGGCCATTTTAGATCTCGCGTGCCAAACTATAACTCAAGCTGCTCTCTTGGGATTGCAGTAAATCACAGAAATGGTCAAGATGATGCCGTGGGTCTTCTCGTGCCACGAGGAACCGGAGATGCGTAGGAAGGTGGTCATTACAGTCGGATCTGATAACATCTGTTCATCAGGATTTCGTAAACCACCAAGGGGAACTTATTAAGTTCACTTTCTTAATCAATATCACATTGAACAAAGAAGAAGTTGAGTGAAATGTCGACTCAAGTGGAATCTGCTCTTCAATGAAATCTAATCGCAAAAGAAGTTTCTCATATTTTAAAACTGCAAGAAATACTACTTTGCAACAACTTTGTGCAGCAAGGAAACCATCACACAATTCTACGAGAGCTGAATTTTTACATGAACCCAGTAATAAGACTTAATACAGCATTTAATTGGTGAAAATTAATTAGTAAAGATAGGTGGCTCTTTGTGAAAACCCAAATTCAGGTCTCCGACATATTGACCCTTTCTGTTCAACGTGTATTTCCATAGGCGCGCGTGAGTACGCGCGCGCAGCTGAAAATGTAACAAAGATATGTGGCTCTTCGTGAAAATGGAAATCTCATTTAACCTAATTTTACGTATTTCCGTGCAATGGGTTTTGAACACGTTCAAAGGGCCAAAATGTATGTGGCTCTTTGTGAAAACGCAAAATGCATTTATCGAGATTTCTGCCCCTTGCAACATTAATGTAACTTGGAAATGAATGATGTTTTGCTTACAGAAACATGTCAAAATGGTTAAGTACATTGTTTTAATGCAGAATATTGAAAAAAATCAAAATCGAAAAAAATGGTAATTTGTGACATATGTGGCTTTTCGTGAAAATGGCGACAAATGTGACTTGTCCCTATTCTTATTTTGTTCTCTGAAACATGCGTAAAACAACCAATAAAGGCTGTCCATTTCGAATAGATTAGTATTCGATTACTCAAAACTGTGTTCGACAAAATATTCAGATATTCAAAGCTGCAACTGCTTGCTGCGCTGGTGAAAAGTTGCATGCAGAGCATGCCAGTTAAAACTTGTGTGCGGGGATCAATGTGAAGTGTTTCGCAGCATGTATTTTATAACTGCTAAGGGCTTTAATCTGCTAGAAGGAGAGAAGGGTCTGTCCACACTAACGGTTACAACTTATAACTTTATGGGTAAGACATGGGAGGTGGATTTCAAAGCAGGTTTTTTGCTAATTTTTGTTCTTTAAACATTCCTTTATTATCTGTGATTGCACTGATAAATAATTAGGCTGATTCACTGCATATGTAGGAAATTACTCGGCCATCTTTAAGATGAAATGAAGGATAATGTTCATAACATGGACGGACACTCTTGATTCATACTATATGTTCTTGTTATAATAAATCCAGCCCGTGTTCCATTTATATTGCATGTTTAATGAAGAATTGGCATCATTCAACATTAAAGCAACCTGTTAAGTTTTTATAAAATTAGGATGCAACTTGTTACACGTTCATAACATGGACAGAAATTTGTGACAAAATTTCTGTCCCTGTTATGAACATGAAGTCTTGAAGATGTGTACACCCTGTAGTAAAAAATCCCAAGAGGTTTAACCTGAGATTGGCCAGTGGCAATCCATAAATGGATAGTTTTACATTAGGAACAAATTTGGGATAATTCAGATATTTGATTCACTGCTTCCCACCACTTAAAAATGAAATGTCTGTCCATGTTATGAACATTAAATCTTGGAGATAATCCTCTGTAATTTCTCGAAACCTGAGAAATTTATCAAACTTGTTGGTGGGCAATGTTCTTACTAGGATATTGGATGAAGAAAGATGGAAAACTTAACATATTACTTCATGCATCGACTCTTGTCCATGGTTCCCTCTAAATGTCACACTTTTGTAACCATTAGTGTGGACAGACCCAGAAACAAAAAGTTACCGTCGACAAAAAAAGTGGCACCTGACAATAAAACGCTGCAACTTTATGATAAAGTAACATCACAGTCATGTGTGTACCTGTGTATTTTTTTTCTTTCTTTTTTTTCAAATTGGCAAAAAGCTATTCGAATATTCGCTTGATGATCGAATATTCAAATATTACCGGTAGGTATATTTGGGACAGCCCCACAACCAATGAGTCTTGATTTCATGGAGTCGAAATTTCAAACTACACCAGCACTTCACCAACTGAACCATCAAAGCATATGTTGAAGATCTCCAAATTTGTCTTCTTATTTTGAAAGTGCACTTTGACTGGCACCTCTTGGCAAATTTACCTGCCAGGGGTGTTATTTCTTCACACAAATATGAGTGCGACAAGAATTTTAAAATCACAACTCAGTTTTGGCTAAATTTGCCAAAATTGAGTGTGTTCAAACTCTGTCAGTTTTGCAGTTCACCGTGGTGTCACCATTCCTTGTTCCAATTTCACCTAAGCCCTTTTTACACTAGAGCCTCTCAACCTGGGTTGAACTCAACCCTGGGTGAACCCAGTGCCACCCCGGGTTGAGTTTTTGATTTTTCAACCCTGCGTTCAACCCCGCATCGTTTCACACTTGTTTCATGCAAATCAAGCTTATCATGCTCAGTTACTACTGTTTTGTTGGACCCTGGCAAGAATTTCAACCCAGGTTGAAATTCTCAACCCTGGTCTGGAGCTGGGTTGAGTTCAACCCGGGGTGAAATCAATCTCGGGGTTGACGCAGGGTTGACGCAGGGTTGAAATTCTTAAAGTGTGAACCGATGCATGTTTTCAACCCTGCGTCAACCCCGCGTCAACCCCGAGATTTGTCTAGTGTGAAAAGGGCTTTAGGCACAGTGTTGTAGTTGACTCCATCACAAGTAAACGGGGATGAAACATAACAAAGGAATGCCTTTTGTCAGATTTCATATGAATAGATTGTGACTTGACGACTTGTCACTTTGAACTAGAAATGTCTAAAATGCTTGTGTTCCAGACAACCAAGGGCGGATCCAGGGGGGGGGGGGCCAAAGGGGGCCATGGCCCCTCCCAAAATGAAACCAATTTTATTTTGTTTTTATTTGTGACATCGCAATAAAGGTAGGCAATGAGTACACCACCATCTTTTCCTCAAAAAAACATTGGTTAAAGTGGTCAGAAATTGCGTCAGATCGCACCACAGAGCATCTAGAATCCAAAAAAAAATTTTACCCACTTTTTTGGGGGACCAAATTGGGTTTTTTTGGCCCCCCCCCCCCCCAAAAAATGTGTTCTGGATCCGCCCTTGCAGACAACGTGAACAGTGGTGATTAAATTTCGGACATTTGTTACTAAAAGGGTTTTTAAATACTCTCGATATGTGTCATGTTGAACATATCTTGAATTTTACTCGTTCCAGGTTTGGACCATCACAGTTTCAAGTCGGCCTCCTCCAACAAGCTCAATGACCTGCGGGACGCCGCCCCCAACTCCCAGCAGCCCTTCCACAACGCCAACACGGCCAGCATCGACAAGAAAAAGCAGCTGAGCCAGAGCACCGACGCCCTGTCTCCGACTGTCTCCCGTCGAGCCCGCCCAGGGCCCCAGCCAAAGAACGACTACGAGAGCCTGAAGTACGCCAGCACGGGCTACAACGCCAGCAGCCTGAAACGATCCACGAACCAGCTGGAGCTAGAGCTCAGGAGAACGCAGGAGAGGCTGGAAATGGTGAGGACTTTTTTAGATGCCATTGATTCTAAGTCCCTAGGCATTTTTGCCGGGATGCAACCACAAGCCTGCAAAATCCTCCAACTGCCTCCATGTAAAAATTGCATACAGCGTCAATCCTCCAAAATCATCCGTTATTTCTTGAGTGTGGTCCTTGGAGGAGTGACCACTGCCTCAGAGCCGGTGACATCCTGGAGCAGTGCAGAGGATTTGAAGTATAATGTACGTTGTAGGTCTAACTTTATTCACTGCTGAGCATAAATATCGCAAGGTCCGGCCCGAGACCTTGACACAGTGCTTCCTCCAAAAACAGCTACAAAGTTTTGCCATGTAGCCTCAATCCTGCGAAATTCTCCATTTTGCAAAGAGGATTTGGGAGGATTTTGGAAGGTTAGGGTTAGAGGCATATAGGATAATTTGCATTTATCCCAAAAGTAACCTGCCCAATTATTATCAACGGCTTACTTGGATTGGAGATCGTACTGGAACTCAAAATCCCGAGAAATTATTCCATCTGGCTTGCTGCCATTTAGAAGAAATCCAGAAATGTAGGTGATTTGCAACAATCAGTCAATTGACAGATTTTAGGACATTTATAAAGAGTGCTGTTGACGAAATTGGGTTCCATGATCAAAGGTTGTGCATGTTTTTTCACTGCTTTCTTTTCTGAACACGATCAACACATAAACACATACATACACGCGTACTGAAATTTGTATTCTTGTGGAGACATTTCGTTGTTCTCGTGTAGTAAAGTTTTCGAGTTTGAAAGTGTTGTTTCAAAATGCTCTTATTTTAACCAGAATTATTTTCCTGGGCTGAAATTCGGATTTAATATCCCTTTTCTAAAACTTTTCCATTTGCGACAGATCAACCCACCTTGGAAATTCCTAGTTTTTGAGTAACATCCATATATCTATTTCGTGAAAATCTTGTGGAGACGTATTCATCTATAGAAATTGCTCTGTGGAGATATACATAATCTTTTGTTCCCTATCGTGTACATGTCTCCAGAGTGCACGGTGTATCAGATCACCCCTTTTCCACTTTATAGTATAGTGAACATGCATATTTATAGTATAATGACAAATGACATTGAGTTCAAAACTAAACTTCGTAGCTTTTTCTTAAATTGTTCTTGAAGTAACTGAAGTTTGGCAATTCTAACAACACATTGTTAAGGTTTTTTCCAAAACAAACTTCATCTTTCTCTTCTCCACATCAGGAGCGCAAACAGAAAGAACACCTCGCCGGCCAAGTCCACAAACTCCGCCACGACAACCAGAGGCTACAGGGAGAGTCCGCCTCCACAGCTGAGCAACTGCAACAATTCACCGACTGGTTCTTCAATGCCATTGAGAAGTAAAACCTTTTGCAGGCAAAAAAAAAATTCAAAAAATCAAAGATATTTCATTAAAGTGTGTGATATAAAATCAATCAAAAATGTACCCCAGTCCTGGAAAGTCTTACACAGTGGCAACTGGCATCAAATTCTTGATGCTGCTTTAAGGTTAGTAGTTAACGCCAGCATAATTGTGGTTATTTTATGAAAGGGATGATTTGACGGTAGAGTACATCATTTGTCATTTGTGCATTTTTTTTCTTCGTTTGAAGCAACAAAAGTACTCACAATCTAAAGAAGGGTGCTGAACAACCAACCCGATGAAGTTTCAGCTCTGTGAATGCTTCATATTCTGAGAAAAAAATATTCTAGGATTCCATTTTAATTCAAAAGTTGCCGAGTCATGTTTTGAATTGCGCCCGAAATCAGCATCCGGGTCATGTTCTCATTCAGTCGATTGCAACTACGCGATGTCAAGCACTAAATTGAAGAATAATAGCAACCGCGCATGTGTCGTGTCAATGCCTGCGGGCACTCATTTACGGCATCGCAGAATTAAAAACAAACTACTAGCGGAAATTTCCAAATATACATCTTAGGCGCATCGTTTGAAAAGGCCTTCTTTTATTGTTTTTGACAGCATGCCAGGAAGAATAATTTCACAGGGAGTACCATTACCATCTTTCAACCAAGTATGTTTTTCAACAATAATTTTGTCAGTTACTTTTTGGATAGCTGCAAATGATGGACTCTGCCATTAAGGGCTAGTAATTTATAGAAGGCATTGTTGCAATGACCTGTTCAGTGTTTTGTGTCCATTAGTCCATTGGTCATTTTCAACCATCAAAGTGCAGCCGCTGAATCTGTCGTGCATAGAACCCATAGGTCACAGGGCATACCTATATTTTCCAACGGACGAGCGATTGTTGTATAGTGATACAAAATTCCTCTGGGCAATTCCACGGTTACTCACATTACATTTTTGATGTACTTTTGAGTTTCCTTGGGCTGTAATTACCTTACTGAAATGGTTTAATAACTGTTATCCCCATGGTAGATAGAGTAGACCTAGACCTACCTAAGCACCAAAGATGACATCCAGAAAAATGTGTTATGTATGATAAACACGACACACAAAATTGGTTACACACGTTACGAAAATTTAACATGAGTAACCTAAGCACCAAAGATGACATCCAGAAAAATGTGTTATGTATGATAAACACGACGCACAAAATTGGTTACACACGTTACGAAAATTTAACATGAGTAACCGATTTTGTGTGTCTTGTTTATCATACATAACACATTTTTCTGGATGTCATCTTTGGTGCTTAGGTAGGTCTAGGTCTACTCTATCTACCATGGGGATAACAGTTATTAAACCTTTTCAGTAAGGTAATTACAGCCCAAGGAAACTCAAAAGTACATCAAAAATGTAACGTGAGTAACCGTGGAATTGCCCCTCTTGTTCCTACAAATGGCAGCATTCTAGGCTCAGCAGTTTCATAGGGTGCTTCATACTGTTATATGCTTATAACCAAGTAAGCTATTTCACAGTAATTTGACAAAATCAATTCAAATCAAGTAGAATATTCTGATGATGTTTCGACAGTTTCATTTTTGAATGCTTGCAAATGGGTTCCATTGTGAATTACACAGATCTGTGAATGCCTCTACAGTGATACTTGCTTGGGTTATCGGACCGGGAGGTATTTCTTTTCAGGAACTTCAACAGAGCCTGGTTCCGTTGAGAACTGGAGATCCACCTTGCTGCCCATAGTGTGTGTGGTGGGGTGGGGGGTATTTTACTATCAATAGATATAGACCACATTTGTTAAGCTGCATTATTGTGACAATTACTGTGCTGGATCAGTATTGAAGGACGTCTGCTAGTTGAAGGACGTCTGCTAGTGTGAATGAAGGAGCGATTGAATTGACCAGATAGGGCAGCGTACAGAATCCAGGGTGTTTAATAATATTCAAATTTCCTTTCTGTGTAAGCTTTGTGTGAGTATCAATGGATAACGGGATCGTCTCGTAAAATTGGAATATAGGGGGTAAAAGTGGCTGAAGTGGCTCAACCTGGCATAGGCAATCTGAAAATGTGTTGAAATCTGCTATTCACATTTTAATTTTTTGCGGCTTAATATCGGAGTCTTATATAGCGCACGTATCTACCAATAATTCAGAATGTTCATCAAATGCTTCATCAAATGTTCTTCTGCCATTAGAACTTTAAAAAGAAATGTTATCCCTGAATTGTTTTTCTTTTAAATTATAATCATAAGGTGCTTACTTAATAAAAATAAAAAAATCCTGAGCTCTTTTACACTTTGGCACAAAAAAAGAGAGGCTTGAAATGAACCACTGCCATTTATTGTGCACTTTTTTATTCTGAACTTTTTTGTACACCATGTGGATATTTTGAAGGCATACATCACTATACAAAACTACACTGTTTCACTGTCCCCGGCCGGTTTTTTCTGATTTCTTTGCACGTTAATGCTTTGCAATGCAACATGTTTTATAATCAAACTAATCAAATTAAAAAAAGATTCAGTCAATATTTTGTGTCAGAAGTTGAAACACTTCAAAACTCAAAACTTTTTAAACTGTCCATCAAGGCTGTTGTATCTATTGTTTACCAAACGTGACAGACTTGATGAATTTTTTTTTTTTTTGTGAGTTGAATGAAGAAATTGATTGGAGCGGGGTTCAAACCTGCAACCTCCGGATTGCCGTTCCGGTGCTCTACCAACTGAGCTATCCAGCCCTATGTTTGCAGTTCCCCAATTTGTCAACATCATACTTAACCCCAACTCCCTAGGCCTTTTTGCTAGGATGTAGCCTCAATCCTGCAAAATCCTCCAATTGGCCTCATGGAAAAATGGCATTATTATAGCCTCAATCCTGCAAATTCCTCCATTATTTCTTGAATATGGTCCGTGGAGGGGTGACCACTGCCTGAATTCTACAAAATCCTGCGGCAGTGACTGTCAGTATGTTGAGGCTTGGCCAGTGACATCCTTGAGCAGTACGGAGGATTTCAAGCATAATCCAGGCCTATATTTATGCATGGCTGAGCAAAAAAACAACACAAGGTCTGGTCCAAGACCTTGACAAAGTGCATCCTACGAAATCAGTAACGCACTTTTGCCATGTAACCTCAATCCTCCAAATTCCTCCACTTCGGATAGAGGATTTTGAAGGTTTCAGGGCGGTTAGGGTTAATGAGGGATTTCCTACGGCATCTAGTTTCTGAATACACATCCATCCAACCCAACAAGAAGTTGTACAATGTACGTTTTGTAATGGGGAAATTTAGGATCTATGCGGTTCCTCTCGTAATTCGGACATCTCAGGGCTTTTCCACATGTTTTGTTATTGCTAAGTTTTGGTTGGATAATTAAGTTCAGGGCTCCAGAGCATTTTGTGTTGGATGTTTGTAACAGAAAATCCAATAATTGAGTGTGTCACTTCTACCAAAAATGCATGTTTAGGGAAGCAATTTTGTATTAGAAAACCTTGTCTAATATTAGCCTTGTACATAATTATGTTTTGTTATTTTTGTACAGTTCAGATCAACATCACTAAAAGAAACTTAAGCACGCATGCTGTTTTGCCAGCACTGTTTAATAACTGTCATATATTTTTTTTTCAAAAAATGTTGACCTGGTATAAAGTTGATAACTTTTTTATAGACAGAATCAAATACAAAGTTTTGTACAAATTGTTGTTTGATTTGGGGTATACAATAAGTACATACATCAGTATTGTGTAATATATTATAATCTGCAGTTGCTCTGTGCTAGCAACAACGAGAGGATTTGGTAAACATGCATGTGTGGAAGACTTACAATTAAGTATTTATGTGTAATGCAGATATTCTTTTTCATTGAGTTATATTCTTTCTTTAATGTATCAGGATTTACGTTGTTGACTTGTTATTTATGAGTAATTCAGACATTGAGCTTTATTTTACCTGCACACCCATTTTCATACCTTCGAGATTTGTTAGTGAAAAGTCAGTAGAAATACCAAGCCATTAAGACCCGCCCAGTGCGTACATGAGCAGCAATGCTTTCCAGTTTTGTTGTCGACTCCACCACATCTAAGTCCAAGTCTTTGCAATCCTCAGTCCTCAAAATCTGAGTTTGAGCCAGGGTCCTCTTGAGTCGGAGTGCCGTGGTGCAGTGGTTACGGCGTTTTGACTCAGTGCTGTGGTACGCGAGTTCAAACCGTTACAGGGAACATGGTGATTGTGTTCTTGGGCAAGATACTTTACTACAATTGCCTCTCTCCACCCAGGAGTATAAATGGGTACCTGTGAAGGTAGAGACCAGGTTGCGCTGATCTCGAGCTGCTGCAGAAAAATGGTCTCATGGCTTGATGAACGGGGTAATAATTGTGAAGCGCTTTGAGACCTTTGGTATAAAGCTCTGTATAAGCACCTCATTATTATTATGAATATAAATCCAAGTCCTTAAACCTGAGTCTGAGAGACAGTCCATCAAAAAGTGGGCTCAAGCCCTACAAGACTGATGCGTCCACCTCTTCGATGCCACCCTGCATGTTGCATAAGTGCCTACATGTTGGGACTTTTTCGGATATTTAGCTGTGAAATCAAGGCTGTGATTGGTCAAAATATCAAGGGCGGAGCTCAGTGGATCAATCAATTTTATGAAAAGTTGGCAATAGATCAAAGTCCCCAAAGTCAAACTACAGAGATAGCCAAAGTTGTTTCTGGTGTCAGAGGGAGGAATGTGAACAGCATAGAAGAGCTTTTCAAAAGTCTTTTGTTTAAAATACAGGCTTAACAGGAATATGTACTGAGGCTAGTTTTACTGACCTACTTCTCACATAAATTTTGCTTAGCAATCAATTTTATGAAAAGTTGGCAATAGATCAAAGTCCCCAAAGTCAAACTACAGAGATAGCCAAAGTTGTTTCTGGTGTCAGAGGGAGGAATGTGAACAGCATAGAAGAGCTTTTCAAAAGTCTTTTGTTTAAAATACAGGCTTAACAGGAATATGTACTGAGGCTAGTTTTACTGACCTACTTCTCACATAAATTTGCTTAGCATGGAAAATATTGGCTTAGTAGGAACAGGGTACCAGCCAATACTGTGCTGAACATTCCTATAATGACTGGTGATCAGTTAATTACTGTTCTGTGCATAGATCTTCTTATATAAGCAATACTTTCTGCTTAAGCAGATCTGTGAAATTGGCCTTTGTTGTATCTGTCCAGTGAATACTTAAATACAATAATAGATTACAGATACAGAAACGTGTTCTCTTGAAGACGTTATTGGGGCCTGATTGAAATCACTTGTGTCATTCCATCTTTGGAAGTTGTTTTTGTTCATTGCATTGGGCACTGTCTTGCAAGTTCCCTCGGACACTTGTGACATTGCTTGCATGATGAACTCAAGCAAACACAATTGCTAAATATTAAAACACTCCTTGCTTAAAAACAGCTAGTCCAAATCTCCTTGGAATATACACAAGGAACAGGCTTTATATTGAAAACTTGAAATTTTGTTTTCCACATCTGTGTGAACGATAGTTCCTGCGGCCATGTTTGAGGTGTGTGCTTTTGTTTCACAGGGTTATGCACATGTAGACCTCTTGTACATGTACATTCATTGTTGAATGGAAATAAGCTCAAAGATGGCGGCTTAATGCAAGGGTTCTATAGTAAAATCGGTGTCTGCTTTTGTATTTCTTTTTCGGAGATATCTTTTCTAAACTTACTTTGAAATTTAATAAAAATTTCCAAAATTCTTTCACACATTGTGTGCTTCTCTAAATACCTCTTCTCATATTTGTACTACTAATACTAATATAAACAATAGGCATTTTGTTTTAACGTGAAACAATAAAGGTAATAGATTTTGTATATAATGTGCACTTTACACTATGCCAGCTTTTGCAAGGTTGGTTATTTAAATAGGTCTTGTACAGCTCTGTATACTTGTACTTGATATTAATAATTATGTAATAAAAAATGAATAAATGTCGGATTGATGAGGACATTGAAGGGAAAGAAAAAGAAATGTCAAGTTTATTTGTGTGTGTTTCTGTCTGGTGAACAGTTTAAATATTTCAGTTGGGTAAGACAAACATCTCCCCTCCCCCCCCCCCCCCCCCCAAAAATGGATCAACATAATCTGTGAATAAATACCTTTGCTGTTCAAATGGGTTGTGTGATAATTTGCGGTATAAGTGTTGATAGGTCACGTTTTTTTAATCAAGTCGAAACCATGCCAAGAATATTTATTTGAGGCGGCAAGTGTTGACAACTGCAGCAGTTTAAATAGGGAAGCTCAGAATACTATGCATTTTCAATTTTCTTTTTTCAAAGGGGAACAAAAATGTGTTTGAGTGGCTAGTGGTTGAGGATGCAGGCTAGTGTAGTTTCAAGAGAGGTTAAGCGCAATAAAAAAAAATGTATATATAGCTAATTTTTTTTCAATTTACAATCTGTGTTCTGAACGACTAGTGGAAGGGGGAAAAAATTCTTTACTCCATGCAAAAAACTATAAGGAAAAAATGTTGCAACCTGACGCCACTTCCGCGATTGTATACAAAGTCTATTATGGAGAGTCAAGAAAATTTTCTAGGCATTTCCAAACAAAATTAGAAAAGTTTCTCAGTCCCAGATTCATGTCTTATAATCATTTTTGCAATGAATGACCTTCATTTAGATGATACATGAAGAAAAAAGTGGTCTGGGGTTGACCATGGAGCCAGTTCCAGAAAATCCTTGCCCCCCCCCCCCCCCCCCCCCCCCCCCCCCCCCCCCCCCCCCCCCTCCAGTGGTGTAACGAGGGTTAAAATTCTGACGGGGCACATGGGGTGCATACATTTTTCAAGTGGGGCACCTGAAGGCAAGTGGTACTTTTTCACAATTGTTATTTCAAAGTTACAAGAGGTGATAATTAAAATTAAACCATGAACCATCAATAAAACGACTTCCGATAACCCAAATTATCGACACAACTTGACAAGAGATAAAACTGTTAGGGGTCCACAACTGCAGTGCCCTTTGTGAGCATTTGGTGTCCGATTACATTCTTAAGACTCTCGGGCGTTGTTTCAAGGAGGTCCCTAAGTGCGCCGCTTCGTGGGAAGCAGGGGGTGTCAGATGGGTGCAGATATAGATGTTGCAAAGCGTGTGCATTACTGATTGGTCATCTTTTAGCTTTGCACTATTGGCAGTATTGCCATCGCATCGACCATGATGGAGCCATTGAGCAGGTAAGATTTACAGATCTTGGGAAAATAGTAAAAAGGAAAGGAATCCTAGCAGGTCTTTCAAAAAGTAACTCATTAGAAATGTGTGGAATAGTCTTTACCAGTTGATGTTCGTTCGTCATTTTGCTAACTCAGCTGCGAATGTCTTGTAATTGTTGTCGCACGTGTTATGAGTTGTGCATACTGTACATGTACTTACTTGATAGTACTTGGCATGCTTGGTACTTGGTACTGGGTTAGTTTCCTCCTGAAACATCCTCTAGGGATCTTGACTAGGAGGTCACGGGGAGGTGTCGGCATCTAGGTCTCGGTCACGATGTGGTTTACCCCTAGAACTATCATTACTCGTAATACCCATAGTTCTAGGGGTAGATGTGGTTAAAATAGTTTTCCCTAAGGTCTTGTGCGTCAAAGAGTCAGTGATGTTTTGTGGCAGGTCATTCCATAATTTAAGTGTCCTTGAAAAAAATGAGTTCTTGGATGCAGTTGAGGGTGTTTGTACTATGTTGAATTGGTTGTTGTTCCCCCTCCTGGATCTCTGCATTTTCGGTTGAAGATAGACTGAATTGAAGCATTGATGTCAACGGTGTGAGTGATCTTGTAGAGTTGAGTCATCTGGTGGGTTTCCCTTCTGTCAGTTAACTTCTCCCATCCAACAAAGAGAATGAACTGTAACTCAAACCACTTTTTTTCTGGCGTAAAACTGGGGACCAATTTGCAGGGGAAACAGCAGGTCCCGAGCATCAATGTTTTTGACTTTTACCTTCCCATTCTGGGGGGGGGGGGGGCACAAGAGGGCAGGACACAAGGGACGGGAGAAAATCTGCCCCCCTCCCCTGCCCCCATGCCCCCCCCCCAAAAAAAAGAAGTCTTATATTTTATACCATTCTTTTAAATGTGGATTATTGTATTTCTCCGTATTTAAAGAATTTACTTTGATCCAGCACTTGATGGATATACATACATTTGTACCATGTATACCTGGCTGGGATTGGGAAAGAACCCAGGAAAGAATTGCAACCTGACGCTACTTCAGTGGTTGTGTGCAAAGTGTATGGAGAGTCAAGACAAGTTTAAGTATTTCCTAACTAAATTGGAAATATTTCTCAGTCCGAGATTCATGTCTTTTCATCAGTTTGACTGACCTTCATTGAGATGATATATGAAGAAAAAAGCAGCGTCAGGTTGCAACATTCTTTCCAGAACCCACATGCTTCTTCAATGGTAATTGTGTACAAAGGCTAGGGAAAGTCACATTTTTCTAAGTATTTCCTTACAAAATTGTTTCTCAGTCCCAGCTGGATTCATGTCTTCTCAACTGTCTTCTCAAATGACCTTCATTGAGATGATATATGAAGAAAAATGTGGGGTCACATTGCAACATTCTTTCCCCAGGCTGTTCCTGTTCCTCTAATTATTTAATGGTGACAAAATGTTGGCCTTCTCCGGTTAAAGGGAAAATACAACATTTGCAAACATGGAAATACCTTACTAGGATGTTGGTAAATGACAGCCTAAAGCATCCTTTAAAATTATGGCACCTGGTGTGAAGTCATTTTCAAGCAAAGTGGCACTTTTGTATACATTTCCAACGGTGGTCAGCTGACCACCATTGGAAAAACCTAACTGTTTTTTTAACTACTGATCCAAATTTACCAGGGTTTTTTTTTTCAGTCCAAATTTTGTTTGCTATTGGTTGCATGTTCATGAACGGGTGCAGGCCAGCTAGACTGGTTCCCTTACCTTACAATTTTCCGGCATTTTTGATCCATTTCATCTTTATTGGAGTCAAGGAACCAGACAACTTGTGAATATTTTTGTTTTTCTTGGTTTTCCAGCATTTTCGAACACAAAACTTCAAACATGTCAGTGTAACAATATTTGATCTATTATACTAACCCCCTAAATAGTTCGTTTCTGAAAATTTCAGCGAAAGCCAATGATGTAAATTCCCTTTAATTTTATGTGGTCTGAATTTCTGAGACTCATCAAAACAAGACACACTGGGCACATGGTATTTAGCTCAACAACTATTGAACAATTATCTGACATTATTTGTTGACCAGAAACCACTAGTCCACTGCAGTTCTATTTGTTTACCTCTCTGTACATGTACCTACATGTACCACCCCTCCAATGTAACAATTGTACTCTAATGGTTATACCACATGAGTACCATTACCACTTCTCAAGGTTTTTAAAGTTGGCACACGACAATGCACGGCCATGATAATACCCTGTAACCCCTAACCTTTAAAGGGAAGATACAACATTTGCAAACATGACAAAACGAAATATCAAATTATCAGGAAATACTTTACTGGATTGTTAGGGAATGACAGTCTAAAGCATCCTGTAAAATCGTACGTGGCTCCTGGTGTGCTGACGATTATGCACACTAGCAGACAATAAATGGTGCTTTTCAGGGCCATATACTGTACATGCACAAACTCAAAAAAGGCATCCGTATAACGGCCGATGGCACAAAAAAGGGCACAATTTTTTTTAAAGGGCCGCTGTTCAGAAAAAAGGACAATTGTTAAAAAAAGAAGGGCACTCTTTACAAAAACATTGGGGGGGGGGGGTTAAAGGGAATATACAACATTTGCAAACATCACAAAACGAAATGATCAAATTATCATGAAACATACCTCACTGGAATAGGGAATGACAGTCTAAAGCATTCTGTAAAATCATGGCTCCTGGTGTGCTGTCATTCAAAAAGCGCTCCTAATTTTTTCATAATTAGTTATTGTGCATTTTCTTTGCAATTGATCACACACCTGTGAAGGGGTAAAAGTCTGCTAGACTGATTCTATGACCTTACAATTCCCCAAAGTCTATAAATTGCTCCGTTTCATCTTAATTGGGGTCAGGGAACCAGACTACAAGAACATGATTGGTTTTCTTGGTTTTTCCAGCATCTACAAGCCCAAAACGTGAAACAAGTAATTGGAGCAATATTTGCTATAACATACCAGTCCTCCAAATCCAATTAATTTCTGAAAATTGCAAACAATAGCAAATGGTGTACAATCCCTTTATAATCTCAATGATGAACCGAAACCAGCTATGCATGTTTATCAATTTTGCTTCTTATCATCATATTCAAGTGACTGAACAGCTATGCTGTCCATTTTTCATAGACCTTTCAAGGACTTTGTTTGTGTTAAAGGGAATATACATCATTTGCTTTTGCTGTAATTTTCAGAAATGGATGGAATTAGGGGGTTCGAAATATATAGCAAATATAGTTACACTGACTTTTTTGAGGTTTTGGGTTCGAAAATGCTATAAAAACCAAGAAAAACGATCATTTCCCTGTAGTCTGGTTCCCTGACTCCATATAAGAAGAAACAGAGCAGTTTACATACATTGGGGAATTGTAAGGTCAGGGAACCAGTCTAGCTGGCTCGTACCCGTTCATAGGTTTGTAATCGATTGCAAACAAGTGCGATGGTCGATTGTGGCCAGTATTTGAAAAAAAAGCCAGTTGTTTCCAACGCTGATCGGCCGATCAGCGTTGGAAATTGATACAAAAATACCACTTTTCTTGAAAATGACAGTATACCAGGTGCCATGATTTTACAGGATGCTTTACACTGTCATTCATTAACAGTCCAGCAAGGTATTTCAAAGTGATTTGGTAGTTTTATTTTTTGATGTTTGCAAATGTTGTATTATCCCTTTAAACACCTCTGGGTCAACCGTCCACACAAAACATGTGCATTAACCTTGCACATGTATACAATGTACATGTACAAACCCAAGGGGCAAACTTTTAGACTAGATTTCCCAATGTAATTTGTTTAATTAATGCAATTTTTGAAAATACACCTTTGCGTCATGTTTAACCTTTGTCATTTCAGGCAGAAACCTCAATGTAACAGCTATTTCAGCACCAAAAGTTGCTAGAAAGTTTGGACATTTTGCTGATCGATGTTCTTGTCTTTGCTGATTTTGTTGTGTCACTTCAAGGCAGTAAGCCAATGAGCACACATTTCTCTCAAATGTTTTCAATTGGCAAAGTTTTGGATTCACAATTTGCTATGTTTGAACAGATAACCCTATTACAGCAACATCGCTCTCTGTCATCTGGAAAAGCATAGACAATTTTAAATGTTTAAAGAAGTGCACTTTTAAATAAAATTAACCAAAAATGGACGTCAAATAGTTTTCATACCTTTAAGAGGTGTTAAGAAAGTTGCACAAATATATTCCTAACAAAAATGTATGTCATGGACGTTTAACCTCGATGTTTATGACAGCAGTTGACAGCCCGAGGCCAATTTTAAAAAAATCTGCTCATGGGATTGTGTGGACAGGTGTTTATGAAAAAATCGTAGCATACTACTTTCACTTTTTCTTTGATTCAAATAAGTGAAGAGTGAGGACGCAAAGCGTCTGAACCATTGCAATCAAGGAATCTCCATCTTTTGAGTTGTTTCTCTGACTTTATAAACTACGTCCCTCCCGCAACCACTGTCCAGGAAACAAGGGAACAAAAAGTATCAAACCCTAACCCCCTAAGGGCTCTTTGGGGGTCAAATACCAGATACCAAATTTGTTGTGCACAAATGCATACTACAGGTTACTACTCAGTAGTATTTTGTAGCTTTAGTGATCCCTAACCTCTCCTAAAGCTACAAAATACTACAGAATACTACATGACTTCTGTGGTATTTAATGCTTTGAACGATGAGAGGAATTCAGTCCATTGCTCAGTGTTGGCTAGCTATGTAAAATTATTTGTTTGCGCTTATACCGAATCTTATTGTTAACCTTTTGGCACCGCCCCAATATTTTGTAAAGACTGCCCTTTTCCATTGAAATGCCCTTTTTCACCTGCGCTTAAAGGGAATGTGCAACATTTGCTTTTGCTGCAATTTTCAGAAATAAATGGATTTGGAGGATTAGTATGTTATAGCAAATATTGTTAATATGACTTCTTTCACGATTTGGGCTTGTAGATGCGGGAAAAAAACAAGAAAACTGGTCATATTTCTTGTAGCCTGGTTCCCTGACCCCACTTAAGATGAAACAGAGCAATTTTTAGACTTTGGGGAATTGTAAGGTCAAAGAATCAGTCTAGCAGGCTTGCACCCCTTCACAGGTGTGTAATCAATTGCAAAGAAAATGCGGAATAACTAATTATGAAAAAATTAGGAGCACTTTTTGAAAAAAGCCAGTTTTCTCCAACACTGGTCGGCTGACCAGCGTTGGAAAAATCCCATTTTTCTTGAAAATGACAGCACACCAGGAGCCATGATTTTACAGAATGCTTTAGACTGTCATTCCCTATTCCAGTGAGGTATTTCATGATAATTTCATCATTTCGTTTTGTGATGTTTGCAAATGTTGTATATTCCCTTTAACCCCCCCTCCCCAATGTTTTTGTAAAGAGTGCCCTTCTTTTTTTAACAATTGTCCTTTTTTTTTAACAACGGCCCTTTAAAAAAAAAATTGTGCCCTTTTTTGTGCCATCGGCCGTTATACAGATGCCTGTTTTAAGTTCGCGCATGTATCGCCCTGAAAAGCACCGTTTATTGTCCCCTAGTGTGCAAAATCGTCGGTTTTGAAACAGCCCAGCCAACCCCCCCCCCCCCCTTACTCTTGGATTTTACGGAGGCCAAGTGTCCGGAAAAAAAAAACAAAAACAGGTCTACATGTATATGCCCCCAATATAAATGACCTTGTTACGGCCCTGTTTTGGATGGGTGCACAACTTCTGTTCCATTCATCACGCTGCACAGAACATGTACATGTTACATGTACCGGTACATGTTACATTTGTCCTCGAAATACACGGAAAGTCTCATACAGCCAACATTATGTGTGTCAAACAACACTCTTCGTTTCCTGACAAAGCCAAATGGAGTTATGTTACATCTACGGAAATAATCTAGATTACGAAAACTATTAATAAATGCTATTGATGTGATCATGCGGGATTGAGAATCATTTTTTAATCCAAGGACAAGGAAGTTTGGCATGGCAAGCACCTGACAGAGTACACATCAGAATATTTTATTGGAAATAATTCTGTTTGGAAAATTCATCACATTGGAATATCTGGGAAGTATAGATTGGTAAGTTTCTAGTGGTCAATTTGATTTATTTGTACATGTACCTCCGCCAAGGAGATTATGTTTTCATTGGCATTGGTTGGTTGGTTGCTTTGTCTGTTAACAAGATAACTCAAAAAGTTATGGACGGATTTGCATGAAAAAACAAAACAAATTAGGCGTGGTCCTTGGTACAAGTACAAATCCATTAGATTTTGGCTGTGATCTGGGTCTGGATCCAGGATTTTTTTTAAGGATTCTTCACCATTTATGCGAGTTTTTCTTTTGGGTGTACTTACAATATGGCGGGGAATTGTTTAGCATTGGCGGAGGTTTGCGCTCTCTGAGTGCTTTCTAGTTTATTTATTCTCTATAGTTGTACACATATTTTCCTTTGGTTAATGTTTTTTATGGGCCAGTACGTAAATAACAGAGTAAGAATTATGGTAAAACAAAAGTAATTGGGTTAAAGATTAGATGAAACATGAACTTTAACAGAGTGAAATTCAGTGAAAGTTGTTATAATGCGAAAGTTTAAAAGGGAACGAAACCAAGACAAACAATACAAATTATGTTAAAATTGAAACATTAAAATATTTATAACTAAATACAATAAAAATGGGATAAAGGTGAGGAAAACAGAAATAAAAATAAAAAGATTATTTATAAATACTTTTGCGCTTTCTGGCAACTGGCAAAAAATCCAAACAGATTGAATTTTTCCCTTTTTGGGGGGAAAAGAAAAAGTAAAAAAAACTCGGGTGTACATGAAATTCTGATGAAGTTGCACATTTTTGCCAGTAGCATTACTATAGGGAAACACTTTAGGAAATTCATCTTCCAGAGAGAGGACACACAATGGGTTTGCTCATAGTTTTAAACAATTAAACAATACCAAGTAAATTCTTGCCTTTCATAAACTCTGAGGGGGCCACCCCCATGCATCCCTTCTCCAGCAATTGTGGCTCCAAAAGTCAAGATGCAAATTAGGTCTGTCCATTTTTGCATAATTAGTATTTGATTACTGGAAACTGCGTTTGACAGAATATTTGGATCTTCAAAACTGCCAGCTGCAACAGGTGCCAATAAAAAGTTGCACAAAGAGTGCGTCAGTTAAAATTTGAGTGCGGCGATCGATATGCGGCGCTGGAGTGTTTTGCAGTAAGTTTTTTATAACCGTCAAAGGGTTTTTACGTGCTAAAAGGATGTAAACAATGAACCGCCGTCGACAAAAAAGCTGGGTCCACAAATCGTCACCGGTTTCACGAAGGGACGGGCATGTGGATTTTGAAGAAAAAACGTTTTTGAGACAATCGCCAGAGAAGTTTCTCCGTTTTTAAAACTGCAAAAACTACTACTTTGCAACAACGTTATGCAATAAGAAAACCTTGACGTAATTCTTTGATAGGTAAACTTTCATTTGAACCCATTAATTATAATTAATGTAGTGGTTAAAAAGCCAAAATTCATTAGTAAAGATGCCCGTCCCCTCGTGAAATCGAAAATTACACTGTTCCACATTTACGCTCTTCATGTTTAATGTGCTTCTCATAGAGAAGGGCGCGCGTATTCGATTATGCGTGCACAGCTGAGAATGTAACAAAGATGCCCGTCCCTTCGTGAAATCGAAAATCTCCTGTTGACCTACTTTTACGCCTCTCCGTTCAATACATTTTGTACGTGTTCAAGGGGCAGGTATGTTCGCGTCTCTTCGTGAAACTGCAAAATCCCATTATCGAGATGCCTGCCCCTGGCATCATTAATGTTATTCAGGAATTAATGATGTTTTGCTTACGGAACATGTCAGAATGCTTGAGTACCATGTTTTAATGCAAAATAGTGAAAAAACTCGATATCAAAAAAATTGTCAATTTCGACATGCATGCCCATCCCTTCGTGAAATCGGTGACGAAATGTGACACCTAACAATAAAGCACCGCGCAACTTTGTGATAAAATACAGTGACAGTCATGTCTGTATGTGCATAAAATAATTTTGGTTTGTTATACATGTATATTCAAACCAGCAAAAAGTTATTCGATTATTTGGTTGATGATTGGATGTTGGACTATTTGGTATATTTAGGACAGACCTAACCCTAAAAGGGCCGGAATCCGCCCCCCCCCCCCCCTCAACTTTTGCCACGATAGCCTTAAAAAAATTTCGCGACCCAAGCTGTTATGACTTTTTAGCCTCGAGCCTTGCGCATCTTTTGATACCAAAAACAGAGAAATTAGACCAGGGTTGCCGCGTAGCGAAAAAATTCCGGCGCTATGCGCCGTGAAAACTGAATTTCCCCATATACATCGTGTACACAGAGCAGAATTACCAATCGTACATATGAATAATTAATTAGCCATAATTCCAAAACCCTTTGACCTATAGTCATGAAATTTCTTGGGTATGTTCATGATGAGTTGCTCTATGCATGTACCGAGTTTCAAAATTTTTCGTCACTCGATGGCCGAGATCTTAGGGGGACAGAATCCGCCCCCCCCCCAGAGATGGTCAAAATAACCCGGCCTGATTAGGGCTAAGGCAAATGGTTAATGCATACATGCCCTAGGTCGTGCATGGCTGGACAATTATCGCAGGTCACTGGGTAATTGTAGATACAGGCCAACAGGTCATTGATGGAAATACTCCTTGAAATTTGAGCACTTCAAGGTTGTTTATATCATGGAGAAATAAAATGTGTTATTTCTCCATGTTTATATAATGCAAACTGGTGGCAAATTGGTGTTTTGGAAAAGTACATTTCATGTGGAGCATCAGGGGCAAGAAGTTTGTAAATATACTATTCCATAACTAAATTTGGCAAGTTTTTTTTTTTTTCGTTAGATGAATCATTCAAAAAGTGAGCAACTTTGTATTGCTAGAAATATATCAATATATAATAAAGAAACTCAAAAAAGAAAAAAGCGGGGAAAAAAGTTTTTGTGTTAAAAATGACACATAAAAGTTGAAAAATGCATCAGGGAAAAAAGGGATGTTGAAGAGCGTGGGAGAGCATCTGTACTTTAATAACTATTGTTTTTGAACTTCACAGTGTTTAAGGTTATTGTAATTACATACATACATGTATGCTCTTGATTACTCACTCTAGCATTGAAACAATTGGAAACCAGCATGGGGGAGGGAGGCTACAAATGCACCCTCAAAATGCAGATAAATTGGACAAATGTAGACATTGCTTTTAAAGGCAATGTACATCATTGGCTTTTGCTGTGATTTTCAGAAATGAACTATTTGAGGGGTTAGTCATGTTAGTATAATAGATCAAATATTGTTACACTGACATGTTTGAAGTTTTGTGTTCGAAAATGCTGGAAAAACCAAGAAAAACAAAAATGTTCAAGTAGTCTAGTTCCTTGGCTCCACTAAAGATGAAATGGATCAATTTATAGATGCCGGAAAATTGTAAGGTAAGGGAACCAGTCTAGCTGGCCTGCACCCATTCATGAACATGTAACCAATAGCAAACAAAATTTGGACTTAAAAAAAAATGGTACATTTGGAGCAGTAGTTGAGAAATATTTAGCTTTTTCCAACGGTGGTCGGCCGACTACCGTTGGAAATGTATACAAAAATACCATTTTCTTGAAAATGACTTTACACCAGGTGCCATAATTTTACAGTATGCTTTAGACTGTCATTTACCAACATCCTAGTAAGGTATTTTGTAAAAACTTGGTAGTTATATTTTTCGATGTTTGCAAATGTTGTATATTCCCTCTAACTATTCCAGTTATACCTGTGATTTATTATAGATGTGACAGAATGCAGTTTAGAAGCAGAACCGTGCTCACGCTGCTCTCTGCAGTGAGTCTCATCAAGGTAGTCTCGGCACAAGAACCCAACAACCCAGTGCCCACCATGCCTGGGGGGTTTCCCAATCTCCCCTCCTTCCCACCCGACTTTGCGGACATCTACCCGGACATTGTCATCAACGAGTTCAGTGTGGACGTAGACTCGGGACAGTTTATCGAGCTGTACGACGGCGGTGTTGGTGGGATGACTCTGGACGGATTGGTCGTAGTGACCTACCGAGGAAAGCGTGAAAGATCGTACGGTCGCCGCATCTCCCTGGACGGTCACGTGACTGACGAAAATGGATACTTCCTCATTGGCCAGGCCAATCAACAACCTCATATTGAGCTCACCCGGGAACTGCGGAGAGACCGGCCCCCGAATGCTATTGCTTTATACTTTGATGACCCTGACAATTTTGGGTCCGGCACCCCTGTCACGGGTACGAATCTAGTGGAAGCAGTTGTCTACGGTGATACCTCCGGTTCAGTGGACAATGCCCTTGTAACTGTTCTGTCTCCCGGTCGTTTGCCTCTGGTCCAGCCAACTAACCAAGCCAATGTGTCGTTGAGCCGATGTAGATCATGGGAGCGTCTCCGTTTGGAAGCTTTCACCAGCGGCACTCAGACCCCCGGTGGGGATAACCTGTGCGTCCTGCCCGACTTCTACATCAATGAAATCAACGTGGCAACTGACGACGAACAAACCAATCAGTTTGTCGAAATCTTCGATGGCGGGCTTGGCCAACAGCAGCTCGATGGCGTAGTCCTAGTCCTGTATAAAGGAAGGAACTCACTGTCCTATCAGGCCATTGATTTGACGGGCTACAGCACTGATGCACATGGATTCTGCGTTGTTGGATGGGTCAACAACACAAATGTCAACCTGGGTCTGGAGTTTGACCCAACTGTTGGTTTCATAAAATCAGGATCCAACGCCGTCGCTCTTCACCTGAGTCCTCATCAGCGTTTCAGGGCAGGAAGCCTTGCCTCTGATTACAATCTCATTGATGCCGTCGTGTATGGCCAGGACCCAGCATTGGAACTTCTGCACACGCTTCTGCCGCATCAGCGCGTCCTGAACGAAGTAGGCGGAAGCACCTCCTCAGGCGACAGATCCATAAGCCGCTGTTCCTGCTGTCAGCGTCTGAACTCTGAATCCTTTGGTGTCGGCCCGGCCACTCCGGGAGCAATCAACATGGATTGCCAACAGAACAACCTGACTCACGTTGAGACTCTTGATCACTACATCAATCTGGTTCGCCTGAATGAGATACGGATTGCTCAGCTCGGACTGCCTCGGGGAGATTTTGTGGAACTCTACGATGGTGGCTTCACAGGTACAGGAGTATCCCTGGATAACATGGTGCTTGTCCTGTACAACAGCGAAGGAGAAAGGTAAAGATTTATGGGGGGAAAAAAAGAGTTAGAAACACAAGAAATCAACAAAAAGGAACCTTTACTGCAATGTGCTAATTGACTGGAGGGACCTGAATGTAAAATCACAAACATTTCAGAGAACGTGGCATTTCAGTCTTGGTAGATTCTCATTTCTGAAGCCTTTGCCATTGAGAAAAATTGTTAAATAAAAACAAATTGGTTTCTGACTAAATTCACTTTATAACAGGCAGGCAACTTTCTTCGGATCCGCTGATTTCCTCGTTTTTTTCTTCTCATGAATGCTATTACAAACACTTTACAACGTCTTGTGTGCTTTGGAATTTCCTCGTTTTTACTAAATTCCAAGTTGCATGCCTGTTATAAACGAGTTCAAACAGACCCACGTAACTTTCAGAAAGTATAAAATAATACTTACTGTGTCAGTTAAAATTTTATATGAATTCAAAATTTCCAGAACTGAAAAGATTTCAGTAATATATAAAATGGTAATTGTTTATGAGGAATTGTTTCATTGAGATTCTAATCACAAACCAGTGCTTAGCAGTAATATTGCATTTTTTTGCAAGTTAATAAAATATTGAAGCGAAATCAGCTCTGCGCTGTAGGCGTCAAATGAGGGCACTATCGTCGTGCGCCAGGCGCGCAGTATACAGTCGTGGTTCTTGCACATCCGCAATGTAGGACTCTCTGCTACGTCCGCGACTAGGCTATAAAAGCCGTGCGTATGGCATGCACTCTCTCTCTCTCTCTCTTGTTGGGACTCACTGTGGGACCCAAAATGTTGAACCATTTGGTGTGTGTGTTAAAACAATTCTGTGAAATATTTTACTTTTATACCCCATCAAAACCGATCATAAAAACAGATCAAAATTGATCAAAACTTTGTCCTAGTTCTCAACCACGACGATGTGTAATATTTGTGAATAGTGTCAGTGTATTGGTGTCGATGAGAACACTACTTGAGATTCATAACAGGACTTGGACTCGGAGACAAGGACTTGGACTCCGATACCAAGGACTCGGACTCGGATGGGGGTGGACTCGACTACAGCACTGGACCGTGTCGCCTGCAGCAAGGAGACAAAGCCATGAGTTTCCACCAGGGAGTGCAGCCTGAGAAGGAGGCTGCACAGTCCTTCGAGAGAAGTCCCATAAAGGGACAAGCTCCAGTTCGATTGGAAGCCCTCCAGAAGTGGACATGGACAGTGCAACCTTAGAAGGAGGCTGCACAACCCCTCAAGAGAAGTCTCATGAAGGGACATGCTCCAGTTCGTGGGGAAACCTCCCAGAAGTAGATGTGGACGATGCAGCCTTAGAATGAGGCTGCATACATGAACAACCTACCGAGCATGGAAAGTCGATATATATACTTGTACAGTAATTCTTTTTCTTGTTTAGGTGATTTTAATATAAGAAAGGAAAACATGCCGGGGAAGACAAGACAGGAGAGAGGAGAGAAGCGCAAAGAGGAGAAAGACAAGACGGGAGAGAAGACGGAGAAGCGGAAGAAGGAGAAGGGCAAGAAGGGAATAGAGAAGCATGAGAAATGGAAGAAGGAGAAGAGGCCGCCCCTGTATGAATGCAAGGAGTGTCCGGCCGAGTACCAGCAGAGGAAGAGCCTGCATCGTCATGTGGCGACACAGCACGGGCCGCAATTGTTTGCATGATGCCGGGCCTGTGGTCTCAAGACATTCTGCAAGGACGTGCCGCCACTACCGGCAGGAACACCCCGAGCAGTTTGACGAGATGGAAGGAATTGCCTTAGAAACTGAGGAGGAGCGAGCGACCAACTAGGGAGCAAGAGGAGCAAGCGACAACCAGCAGCTAGGGTAACCCACCTGAGCAGAAGAGGCCCACAGCCGAGGTGCCCCGCCGATGGGTCAAAGTGCACTCGCCCAAGGAGGTTGGTGAGGGGAGCAGCAGGAGAGGCGACAAATTGCCTCCCTGTAAGAGGCGCACCCAGGAGGCTGCTTGCTGGAAGGTTGAAGTTCGGCGCCGCTTGGAGGATGCCAGATCATGGCAGGAGGCCAAGGAACTACTAGAAAACAAGATGGCCAGCTGGGACCTGCGCCAGGAAAGCCTGAAAAGCCCCCAAGACACCCACAGGCTGAACACAGGAGGACCCCGCCCCAATGGACTTCAGTATTGCACACCACCCTAGACCAGAGGACGATGCTTCCATGTCGCCAGCTGCTTCCTGCAGCCTCATCCCACAAGAAGAGAGGCCCCGACTGCCCATGGCTCGTCTCAACCAGCAGAAGGAAGATTTAATGATTTCCATCGTCGACAATGAGGAGGCGCCATCCCAGGCCCAGGCCAAAGACCATCCCAAAAGAATCATGATGCAGCCCCTGGAGAAACTACTGGATGGCAAGGACAAACAGATCAAGGAAACCATAACGACAACTTCATATGACAAGGGTGTCCTACTGTACGTCAAGGAGGAAGAAAGAGTGTATGACCTCATCGTCTAGACCCTGCATGCTTGTCCTTGTTAATCAAAAGTTTTGAGAATGTTTGATAAGTTAAATTTACACTTAGGTACAAGACCCTGCCTATGTTATCATAAAGTAAAGTGAATTATTAAAGCAAGCTGTTGCCCTTAATTATGAGGTGTCAGAGGCAGGTCTACTAAATTGCAGGCACACCTCATGAGGTGCTATTAAAGAGGCGCCATGACTCTGTATGTAATTGTGAAGTGCATATCTGATTTCTTGTATTGAGTTTAAGTTTAGCTGATATAGCCGGGACGGCTAAGGAAAGAAGGAGGCTGCGTAGCGAAATCAGCTCTGCGCTGTAGGCATCAAAAGAGGGTGCTATCTCTGTGCGCTAGCCGTGAAGTATGCAGTCCTGGTTCTTCTACGTCCGCAATGTAGGACTCTCTGCTGCATCCGCGACTAGGCTATAAAAGCCGGGCATATGGCATGCGCTCTCTCTCTCCCTCTGGTTGGGACTCACTGTGCAACTGCCTTGGTGAGTAGCTGGTTGGCTGAGCACCCTTGAACTGCGGAAGCGGACTCCAGTCGTGCACACGGCATGAGGAGCTACATGTACAGGAGGCTTACTTAGGATCTGGGCATCAACTGCCCATCGGGAATGGATCAGGAGGCGGCACTACGAGAGGCTGACTGAAGATCTGAGTATCGCTGGTCCCTCATGTGGGATCGGGATTACAGCAAGCAGTACTGGAGGCTGACTGTATCTAATTAGGATTCACGGGAGGCTGCTGGAGCAGGACAAGTGGTAGCATGTCCAGAGCATAGAGGAGAACTCTCAACTTGCGCTTTCCAGACGTGTGGGCGCTGCCATGTTCATTGCACGCAGATATACCATGTGCATGCATGCAGGTTGCCTAAAGTAGTCTTGAACACAAGTAGGTTTATTTCGTTGTCGCGATTCGTAACCGACACTCTGGGGTCTAACGTGTATTGAGACAAAATGAACCTGGTATCCTGCTCCATTTGCACGGCACACTGATTTTACGCATGCTTTAAGTCTAACTTCACTGGTCCCCGGCCATGCATAAGGTGCTCCGATGGACGTATACACCGTACATTGTACATGTACCAGATGCATACTGTACCCATACGGTACGGGCAAAGGGTTTACGAATCAGAAAGCAGAGAGTTGAATTGGCAAGTCAAAAGAGCTATTTTCTATCTTTTTAGTTGAAAAAAAGTGAATTTCGATTAACAATTTTCAATAAATTTCAATAAATTAATTTGAACCAACCACCCATATTTTCGAGAAAAAAAATTGAAATTTAAAAACATCGAAAACTTTGAATGGCCCCTTATTAAAAAAAATGAGTTCAAAGTATTATGGGAAAAATAAATAGGGGTGCATCCAGAATTTACAAAATCGTATATTTGTCACATGAAACAGGGACAGGAAAAAAGCGCTCATCAAATTCGTAGAATGACACAGCTGTTTAATGGTAAGGTAGATCATTTGTCATTTTGTGCATTTTTGTTTTCTTTGTAGCAACAAAAGTGCTCAAAATGTAAAGATGGGTGCTGAACAAGTAACCTTATGAAGATTTAGCTCTGTGAGTGCTGTATATTCTGAGAAAAACAATTTTTTACGATCTCAATTTCTATTCCAAAGTTGTTGAGTCGTGTTTGAATTGCCCCCGAAATTAGCATCCGGCACTGAACAGATGAATAATAGAAACCGCGCATGCGTGTGCCTTGTGTCTATGCTTGCGCGCGCACCCGTTCACAGGTTACAAACCAATTACGTATGGACATTTCCAAAAATACGTCACTTGACGCATCTTTGGAAATGGCCAAGAATTCTTAGATTGTTTTCTTCAAAATGACAGCTTGCCAGAAAGAATAATTTCACAGGAAGTTTATTGCCATTACTATCTTTAAACCAAGCAAGCTTTTCAACAATAATTTTGTCAGTTACTTTTTGGATAGCTGCAAAAGACCTACTCTGCCTTTAAGGTTCTACTCAATATTTTGAATTTGCTTTTAGCAATACAGTTTACTGTCTGACCTTTTTTTGTTTTTTGATTGTGGAATATTTCACTTTCAATTACAGCTCCTATAAAGCTGTTGATCTGCAGGGTTACCGTACCGACACCAACGGCTTCTTTGTGATTGGTCCCGCATCCGTCCAGTCATCAGGGTTATTGATGGACGAGAGCCATTGGTTTGATGGGAAAGTCGGCGCTGTAGCCATATACAAGGTAAGGTCTATTCGAAGTGAATGCGCTCTTATGGCCATTAAGCAATGGGACTTCTTTCATTTCAGTTCTCTCAGAATTGTACCAAGTAGGGCATGAAATTGAGTTTGTCGTGACAAACAATCACTTTGGAGAATAAAAGGCAACATAATTCACAAAACTGCAAAACGAGTTTTGTATAAATCCATATATGGATAGGCCTATGGCATTAGCTTGCACTGGGAAGAGGTGAATCTCTGTTGAACCATGGCGATATGAAAGGAAGGAGTCAGAACTCCAGTTCTTCAAAGTGCTATGGGATCATCGCCGCGCTCGAAAGCAACAATAGAAAGCACCTGGCGGCCAGCTTTGTCAGGCGCTCACTACGTTAATCCCTATATTAAATATATATAAGGCAAAAAAAAAAAATACTCGGTCTCTGGTCAGTGCTCGCGTCGATTTTAATCATGTGCGTCAACCTTTTTTGTTTTTTTTAAATAACACGGAAGCTACAACAGCGCCCTTTATTGCCGCACCCCCCTGAAATTTTTGTACCAAGGAGCACCAAGGCATGGGGAAATTGCACCAAGGTAAATGATAAAGGGCACCAAGGCAAATGATGGAGGACACCAATGTATAATGAGGACACAAAAAAGCAAAATAGTACCCACCTTGTCTGTACAATACAAGCTTGAAAAAAAAAAAAAAGCCACCAAAAAAAAAAAAAACCGCGACGCCGCAAAAGAGTTTGCATTGCTTTGTGGATAGCACCATGGTAATACGCATGCGCAGTTGTCGTACATCGCTAAAAATGAATGATTTTCAAAGTGTTTGTTCAGAGTTGGCTAATACTGGCTAACAATGTGGTCAACATCACTGAAACAATCAGTTCATGACTAAAAAAAATGTATTATCAAAACATCACTTATCATTTAAATCATCATACACAAACAAAACACACTATACTCATTAATTTGGGATTTTGCGAGCTGCAGCAACCGGTACTTTAATTAGCCTACACTTGTTTCTTCAACTTCTCCAATACACATCATTATTGCTGCTAATTTTGCACAATGTACATTAAGATATATATCAACATAACAAATTGTAAATTCGACCCATTGCTTCTGGTGATCGCCAGATACAAAAAACCACAAACCTTTTTGGAAAAAGTGGAAACGTATGCAGTGACCTATGCTGACCACCGCTCTCAGGCTAGCTAAGCAATGAAAATGGGAGGTTTTTAAAACACTTTAGCCATTACAATAGCATATAAATTAAATAAATTTTAATTTTGAGTTTCCTTCAGATTATCTGTGTAAGAAAATGCATGACATACAGGAGCGAAACATGGGCAATGAAATCGTCTAGTGTACAGCGCTTGGAAAAGGTTGAGATGATGATGGTGAGGTGGATGTGCAGGACATCACTACATGAAAGAACGAGGAATAAGTCCTCCTTCAGTCAGTGGGTCTGATGGGGGTAGCAGAGGTTATGAGGATTAACAGGCTTAGATGGTATGGACATGTGGCTAGGAGAGAGGCAACACACTGGCTTCAGAGAGCTTTAAATTTTCGAGTCACCAGAAGAAGGCCTCGTGGGAGACCCAGAAAAACCTGGAGGGAAACTGTAGAAGAAGAAGCCAAAACATCTGGTATTGCTCACATGGACGCCACAGACAGGAAAGCTTGGAGAGCAGCCATTAAGGAAATGAAATGTCCAACCCCACAAAGTGGGACAAATGGACTCTAAACGCTGATGATGATGATGATGATGATATCTATGCTGTGAAGCCAGAAGAGGAGTTCTTCGTTGGCTTGTTCTGAAATGACAACTTTGTAATTCCACGAATTTCTAGATTCAATTACACAATGCATGGCTTTGGTCATTACCCTACTCATTGATCCCACAACTAAATAGGATGAAACAATACTTCCTGCCACACTAGCTAGATCTTTGACTTTGACACAGGTTGACGAACCTGCTGACTTGGGAGTTATGAACAGTTCTTGAATTCGTTCCTTGATACTGTTTATCCATCTGTTTGGCAAAACAAGAGAACCATTCTTTAGTTAATTATTAGACCTAACCACTCAGTCTCTGAAACTGGGTCCCAAGTACTCTTTTGTACATTAGGTACGAACCCCGCACTGACCAGGTCAACTTTAACTTGAGCACTGTGCTCTCTGGCTTTCTGAAAGCTCTCTGCATAACACAAACCATCGTCTAGGAACACAACTATTTGTTTACCTTTACTTCTCCACTTCTGTACAAGTGGTCTCACTACTTTGGTGAAAACGTATGGGGCAGTGGATAAACCAAATGGTAATACAGTAACCTCGGAGAATGTAAAGGAACTTTTGTAAAACCAGGAAAATCCCAAGTGCTGTTGATGTTCTGGACGAATGCTAATATGGTGATATCCCGATTTTAGGTCAAACTGGAACATAAAACCTCCCTTTGAAAGGTATAACAGGGCTGTAGGCATATCTTCGTACTTGACAGATTGTTTCTTTAAAAACCTGTTCACTTCTTTCAAATCTAGTATCAATCTCCGCTTGCCTGATTTTTGTACTGAAACCAACAAAGGATTCACTATGAATGGTTGTTCAGTGCAAGGCAAAACGCAATGCGTCTCTAACAAATCTGAAATTGCATTTGTGACAAATTCGCTATTATTGATGGCTGAGCGATTATTCAACCCTTGTTTGGATTTTTCGACATTCGGCATGTGTGGTGGTGTTTCATAAAACGGAATCATGTATCCGTTCCTAATTATGTCTAATACAAAAGAATTGGCATTAATTGCTCTCCAAAAATCATAATGTTGATGTAAACGACCAGCCACTTGAATTTTGCAACCTGTGGAACACCTTTCTTCATACTCAAAGTAATTATCGGTAAAGTAACATAAGTCAACTTCATTTCTCGTGCTAGACCAAGGGCGGATCCAGGGGGGGCCAAAGGGGGCCATGGCCCCCCCCCCCCAAAAACGAAACCAATTTTTTTTTTTTTTTATGTGACATCGCAATAAAGGCAGGCAATGAGTACACCACCATCTTTTCCTCAAAAAAACATTGGTTAAAGTGGTCAGAAATTGCCTCAGATCGCACCACAGACCATCTAGAATCCAAAAAATTTTCGGGGCCCTTAAGCGGGCCCCGAACCCCACGCCGTAATTTTTTTACCCACTTTTTTGGGGGACCAAAAATTTTTTTGGCCCCCCCAAAATTGTGTTCTGGATCCGCCCTTGTGCTAGACTTGCTTGCTGTGGTGTCCTTGCTAGGTGGAGAAACTTGGGGTGTTGCTCTTGTCTTGTCTTCTACTGATGTTTGGACAGGATTTTCTCCAGTGACCTTGGCTTCTGCAAGCATAGTAGATGTCTTTGCTGGTTGGGAATCGTTGGCCACAAAAAAAATTGGAATTGAGATGCAGGAGCGACAGAAGTAGTAGCGGGAGCAGGAGTCTGGTAGTCACCGGTCTTGAATCTCTTAGCCCCGGACTTCTTATTGGACGCCGTTTTAAGCTTTCTGGCCGCCCTGTCTTCTGCCCTTGTGGTCTTCTTGTCATCATCGGAGTCGTTGGCCAACTCGTTATTCTCGTATTCCTCGACTGTTGCCCAGCCAGAGGGGCTGGTATCTGCTCAAGCAGAGCTTTAATACTGGTTAGCTCCTGCTGCACTTCAGTGGACTGGTTTTTGCGTTCAGCTTCTACGACGTGATCCAAGACAGACTGATTAAAGTTATATTGTCGTTTATGGCCTTCCCTTTTCCAGGTTGATTTAGTGCTAGTGGCCAGCTATCCAAAAAGTAACTGGCGTAATTCTTGTTGAAAAACATACTTGGTTGAGAGATAATAAGGGGACTAAACTCCCTGTGAAATGATTCTTTCTGGAAAGCTGTCATTTTGAAGAAATAAAGAAAAGAAGGCCTTCCCAATGGTGCTTCTTAAGACGCACCGTAGGGAATTTAAATTAGTAGTTCGTTTTGTTTTGCGGTGAAGCGCGCGCAAGCATTGGCACGACGCACATGCGCGCGCGGTTGCTATGATTTGTCGGATCAGTGCGCGACATTGCATAGCTGCAATCGGCTCATTGAGAACGCGTCTCGGACGCTGATTTAGGCCCAATTCAAAACATGATTTCGTAACTTTTGATTTGAAATTGAGATCCTAGAATGCTGTTTTTCTCAGAATATACAGCTGAAGCTGAGCTGAAACTTCATCAGGTTAGTTGTTCAATACCTTTCTTTAGATCTTGAGCACTTTTGTGCTTCAAACGAACAAAATGCACAAATTACAAATAATGGACTATACCTTTAGTTTGTTGAAAATTGCAACAGCACTAAATTTCGTGTGTTGCGTTGCTGCTAGCAAGCGTGAAGTGACGCGTTTCTCCGCTAGCATCACATACCACTCCCTATTCAAAATTCCCGCTCTGACCATCGAACCATACAATCATTAGCATATCAATGATAAATTTGATGCAGTCTTATTCGCTCTGGACTCAACTGAATACATCAACATATTTCATAAATAAAGTATTAATTGCCAATTAAAATTTCCGAAAAGACATAACAACTTATCGGAAAAATATCAATTTATCTTCGTATTACAGAAACAGATAGCTCTTTCAAGGACCAACAACTGCACATCGATAACTTAATTTCATAACTCACATCTAACAACTGCGCATTTGTTAAAACCTGTCTTGCCGTATGGTAGAACTTTCTGCTCTGAAAAAAAAAGCTTCTACTCTTTCACACACAAATGAAAAATAAATTGTAGCAGACATCATTTTTTTGTAGGTCATAGATAATATACAAATACTCTTGTGACAAACTGCTTTTATTGCTTAACTTCTATGGATAAGTTAAGAATTTGTGTCCAAAATTGAAAATTGACTCCTTGCACGAGAAGTAGTATAGGTGGTGTTTTTTGACCACTTTTGAAAGCTTCGCTGGGGACACACCACGTGCGTGCGCTGGTTTACGCGTGTGTGGCACGAAGTACGCATAGCTAAATATATTCTGTGTGTGTTCACAAACCCATAGCTTCTTCGCCTGAGCATCGGGCGTCAACGGTAATTCGAATGCCTGTCTGAGTTGTCTTCCTCGACTATCCTAAGGTACATGTAGCTGTACATTGCTGATGCCAGCTTATGTCGGGGGTGCGTGGACGTATGCAATGCTGATGCAGTTGTGTAATTCTGATGCATAGACCAGCGAGTAAGCTTCTGTCTCCTTTTAATAGCTCAGATCACTTGTGCACTTTCATACTTCCCATTAACTTTGCTTTCGGGACTTGCGTTTTTTCCAGGGTTCATCAGCAGATTTTCCCGATGGAACGCGGGCCACCTCAACGAATCTAGTGGATGCCGTGGTCTATGGTGACAATAACCTGTTACTCCTTGATCTGCTCACCCCGGGACAGAATGAAGTCAAATACGCTGTCGATACAGGTACTGCATCCGTAACATGTATGCTGTGTTGTCCTTCTTGTTCTTTTTATTCTGCACTGCTACTCCTGAGATGCATTTCAAAACCTTATGTGGTCCATAAACATGTAAGTCTGCCAATATAACTTAAAGCCAGAGTCCATCATTTGCAGCTACCCAAAAAGTAACTGGCGTAATTATTGTTGAAAGACATACTTGGTTGAAAGATAGTAAGGGGACTAAACTTCCTGTGAAATTATTCTTTCTGGCTAGCTGGCATTTTGAAGAAATCAACAAAAGAAGGCCTTTCCAATGGTGTGTCTTAAGAAGCACCGTAGGAAGTTCAAATTAGTAGTTTGTTTTGTTATTCGGTGAAGCGCGCGCAAGCATTGGCATGATGCACATGCGCGCGCAGTTGCTATAATTTGTCGGATCAGTGCGCGACATTGTATAGCTGCAATTGGCTCAGTGAGAACGTGTCTCGGGCGCTGAATTCAGGCCCAATTCAAAACATGATTCAGCAACTTTTGAAATTGAGATCCTAGAATGTTGTTTTTCTCGGAATATACAGCAAAAGCTGAGCTGAAACTTCATCAGGTTAGTTGTTCAGCCCCCTTCTTTAGAATTTGAGCACTTTTGTGCTTCAAACGAACAAAATGCACAAATTACAAATGATGGACTATACCTTTAAGGAAACTTATGATTAACAAAAGCCAGATTAGGGGACTCTACTATAAACATCACAAAGAAAAGATGGTTAATATCTAGTGGCATTTGTGAGGTATACAGAACATCTATTTTTGAAACAAATATTAGGAGCAACATCCATCCTTCGCTGCTACTGTAGAGAAGCGTTTGAGGTCCTTGCCTATGCTGTGGGCCCACCCTCTCCTGGAGTTGCCAATGTTTGTCCCCCGCCTCCACTCGTCATCAATGAGGTCAACATCCTAGACGTGTTTGAAGACGTGGGTCAGTATGTGGAATTGTCCAGTGACGGCCTCCCTGGGTTTCCTCTTAATGATTTGATCATGGTAAGATGTGGTCATAAATACTTCAAAAATTAAACTAATTACCAATTAAAAAAAAAAATTAATCATCTTACATTCACATTCCCCGTGCTCTTCAACAGATGCCTTTTTTTTCATTAACTCTTTCAGTGCCCGCGAAATTTGAAAAGTTTAACCCTAAAGTGCCCAACTTCGAGCATTTTTGTAATTGTTCAAAATTCTGTAAAAAAAAAAAAAAAAGTTTTACTCACTACATTTGTTGTTGTTGCTCTCTGGTATGTCCTTGGTACATTGGAAAGTCAATAGTAGTCACGTACATAGTGCTACACCCTGAAACGCTGTCCTGCACACAGGGGAATTCCACACTTTTTGCAGAAAATACGAGTGTCAGTGCTGCGCCCTCTCGCAAGAACTCGAATAAAACTAACAAATACAGGTCGTACCTGAATGAAAATGATATTATTAGAAAGCGAGAGCGCCCCCTTGTGATAATATGCTTACTTTACCTGGTACATGTACGAGGTTTGGCGATTTTAAGTGCGAACATTACCTCGTACATGTACGAGGTTGGCACTTCGAACTAACAAATATACCTCATACATGTACGACTTTGGCACTGAAAGATTTAATTAATGTTCAACTTGTATGTTTTATTCCAACCAAAAAACCCTCCTTTTTCCCAGTTTGGACTTCTGCATGCAACTCTCTTAGAAGAGCATTTTTGCTTTGAGCACAAACAGATCCGCTTTGCAAGCAGACTGGATCCCGGCCCATACATTATAGGTACTGATTGTTGGGCGGCAACCAGACTATCCAGCGAGAGGGGAATTATTGTCTGGCAGCCAATAATTTGAAATTCATAATTACCTAAGACAGTTTACCCATTTTCATTGGTCAAGAGCACATCACGTGGCTGGTCTTGAATGGATGATAAAGACTTGGTTGGCTGGTCTTAAACACTTTTGCAGTGTAACATGAAATTTGTTCTCCTATGAAATCCAGTGCCTTTTAAGAGTCATTTCGTGCAAATACTTCATATAAGTGTCCATGCTCAAAGTTTTGAGGCTGCAAAAAAACTGAAAATACACTTTTTAAGGTTTTTGTGAAATTTACCATTTTTGGAGCGCTATTGCTCAAAGGATATACAATAACCCAAGAGTTTCTTACCAGATATAAAAAGACCAATGTCTGAACTAACCATAGCCGAAGGGAAATTATTCTGAGTGCCCTGGCAAGTGCCATTTTGGAGGGTTAAAAATTGGGTTAAAAAATGCCATTTTGCTAGTTGTAAAAACATGCTGTATTGTAGAGTCTAAAAATGATATAAAGGTGATTTTTCAGAAGTGTTTCTATATTTTTCTTGTAAGGGTAAGGATGATACTTTGTCATGCTATAGTTACTTTTGTGAAATTACTTCGCAGTATGGCTTGATGACCTTTGAAAATAACGCACAAAAATGAAATTTAGCAGCCTCAAAACTGCCCCAAAATGGCCAAAACACATAATGGCCCATAACCATGGCAACGGTCAAAATAAAAGTTTAAAAATTCTATTTTGGTTACTTGCTCCCCAAGTCCTTTCATCCCACAAAGTGTAGAAAAAAATGATTTTTTGAGCGTGGACTCTTATATGAAGTATTTACACGAAATGACTCTTAACCGTCTCACAACCTAATATTGTGAACCTACAGCAATCCTCACGTAGAAATGTGCAATACCACCAGTGAGTCAGTATTTCATAGTCCTAAATTCACACCACACTCAACACAGCTGCATTTCCCCGTTATCGCGCAGTACGCGCGACGCATGCGCCATCTCCATAAAAGGAATTGTTTACGTCTTATCTCACGAGCTGGACACTGCATTATTTAGTGAGAGGGGTGTTTAGAATCACAGAAAGTAAAAATGTTGAACAAAATCGTTGGACATTTTTAATTTTTGACTTATTTTAATATATGGACCGAAGAGTTTTGATTTTTTTTTACCAAAAAGGTATTTATGGATGGGAATAAATATGTGCTTTGTCAGAAGTTTGCAGAATTATCCTCAGCTTCGACTCGGGTAACTATCAGCATCCCAGACTCCCAGCAGTCTAAAACATAGTGTTTAACACCTCCCAAACACACGTTTATTCCCTTATTGTAAAGTAATATTTCAATAACTTGGGAAAATTTTTAGAAAAATTAAAGTTAAGAAAAAGGATCCTTCAGGATCAAACCCGAAAATATCATGGGAAATTCAAATTTAAATCTGTAAAGATTCAAGGTTAATCGTGTTCTAGCGCTGAGCATCTAACATAAACATTGCATCATCAAAACTGTGATTTATTTGTTCACACATATATTAGACATTGATGTGTATAGAATACATGTCCCTTAGATTCAACATACAAACAATTTGTGATGAAACAGTTCTTAAAAATCTTTCAATTTCGAATGCATATTTTGTCCGATCGATACAGTTTTTCTGGAAGGCGAAGCCTGGCAAGAATCCCAAAGCATACCGTATCATCAGCATCAACGGCAAACACACCGACGAAAATGGCCTGTTTCTCATTGGCTATCGCGGCCTGACCTCTCCGCGGCCGGACATGACCCCCTTCAGTGCCCCCATTGGGGTGATCAAGGAAACCAGCTGTAGCATCTCCCTCCACTGGGGTCTCCGAAGCGAGGACCTCCCAAAGCCCATGCCCCTAACTGCTGAGGGGCTCGTGGACGTCATCATCCATGGCACGGAGGAAGAAGCAGACAACCAGCAGCTGATCGAGTTCTTCCGGCCTTATGCCCCCCGGGATCAGATCAATGAGATCGAGGACTGGAGCCAGCGGGATGAGTCCATCAATCGTTGCACAGACAGCGAGAACAACACCGTCTACCAGATGGCTCACATCAGCCCCAAGGGGCACAACCACTGTCCAAGCCGAGGCGACGCTGGCCTCATCATCAATGAGGTGAATTTGATCCCCTCGGAGCAGTTTGTTGAGCTGTGGGATCTGGGAGCTGGCTTCACATCCCTTGGTAAGTGCTTCCTGTTCTTCAATTCCCTCCAAAGGGTGATACAAAAATCTATGAGCTTAGTCTCAGTCAGTCTACAAAGAAGGCTCCGTCACCAAGGCATAGGGCAACCAATGTGTTTTTGGAAGCCTTATTGGGTAGTGCCTATACCCAAGTCAAGTCTTCCATCTCTAATTATGCTGTGATTCCTACAAGCCGTGATCTATTCTTGTGTGAACTATGTGCCCTAATTGACTCTTTATTTTGTTTCCATGCCATTAAGTTGAGTTACTTATCACCTTTTTTTCAGATGGGACACTAGTCTGTTCTTGGTAACCCCTGTCTCTGGAAATCATAATACAAATTGATTGAATCAGAGGGCAAGTTCGATAAAGGACATAGATAGTTATTAATCCATAGTTCAACTAACTCTGATTGAACGCATGCTAGTCGACGATGGTTGGACTAGTCTAGTCGACTTTTCAGGACCAGCCTTGCATGGCTGGTGACACATCACGATTTATAGCTGGTTATCAATAGCAACTTTCATAGCATAGTGCAGAAGGGACCAACTGTTAACAAAATTTGGGGGAAATGAAAACTGTGAGTGCTAAATTTCATTTTCGTTGCATAGTTTTTCTATTTTAGTTTACGATTCCGTCACTAATTTCGTCACTATTGTACGATAATAATGGTGATTGTGCAAGGTGTCCCAAACTACACGAGCACTATTATTTGTGATGCGATCAAGCTAAATGAGCCGGTTGTCAGTAATTTTTATGTGGAAATACAGGCCAAAATAGGGCCCCTTCATCACATCACTTCATCACATCTCTTGGTGTTCAGACTTCCATAATTTTTGAACTTTTAAAAGATGGTATCAGCATGCGGTTTTCACAGCAGTAATGCGGAGATTGTGCTCTTTTGAAATCTGTAATAACAACTTTTTTGACCAGGGTCGACAAACGACTCATGTAGCTTGATCACATCACATTTGTGTAAATAAACAGAAACATCAAGTGTTGAAAAATTCTTCAGCCAATGTGCTACCGCCATTTTCTCACGGTTGATGACATGACAATAGTGCAACGTTCGCACTTCAAATTCAGTGAGTATGCGCTAGGTATGTCTTTAACCAACCACTAGTTAACCATTGGTCCTTGATCGAACTTGCCCATAAAGAGAGACTTAGTAGAACATCCATTTAGTTTAGGTGCTCTAGATTGCAACCTCTGTCACTTTAGATTTGAATCAGAGATTTCAAAATCTTGTTATCCCAATGTTTCAAACCGAGTAACGGTTATCTGATTTCAGGGGAAGTTCCCATTCAGCTCACAGTCATGCCAACAAAAGAGTGACGGATGAGGTGCCGCATGAAATGCCTTTGCAGGATTCAATGACCACTGGGCCTTTACAAAAACACTCCAGAGCCATAATGTTGACAAAAAATGGATGGGAACTCTTTGATCAGGCATGCAACTTTTCCTCGGACCCGCTGATTTCCTTGTTTGTCACTTCTCATGAATGCCATTACAAATTGAAAAACACTGTACAAAGTCTTGTGTGGTTTGGAGTTTCCTCGTTTTTTTATTAATTCCAAGTTGCATGCCTGTCTGATAAGTCTAATGGGCAGGCTATTCATATACCAAGAAGACCGCTGGGAAGTGAATGCAGTTACAATCAGAGACCATGTAGCACGTTGGGGGATGTTTCAGTTGTTTTCTTTAGCCTGAGTTACAAAAAAATGGAAGGCCTTATATTGTTTTAGGTTTGTTTCAAATGTTTTTTCCAAAATCGAAACCGAATAGCAGAATTCAAACCGAATGTTAAAAAAATCCAGATTTTTATCCCGCCACTAATTTGAATGAAAATGACAATTTTATCAAGCTTCTGTAATAGTACTTAACTTTTTTTATTTGTATTCTGATAGATGAATTTGTGGTTGTGTTGTACGGAGAAGGTGATAGGTCATACTGGACCATTCCACTGACTGGTTTCACTACAGACAGCATGGGATACTTCATCATGGGGGTTGTCAATGTGCAGCCCACGGCTCAGTTCCAATTTGCCGACGGTAAGAAGACGCCATGGGGCCAGTTAGTTATTAGCTGTAAACTACAGAGGAAAAAAAAATTGGCTAAGCCAGATCAACTTTTAGTCAGTAGTTAAATGTAGTGTACATAAAATGTGACTGATTGGGAGTGTTGTAGACGAGTACTTTTGTCTGAGTGTAAAGTGTTACTTCACCTCAAAAATATTCATGATCAAATTGGAGCGCGTCATTGGCCGATTCCGCCACACGTCCAGGAAGTATAAATGATACGTGACCAGGTGACGTCATCCCGGTGAGTATCCAGCTCGATGCTGTGCGGTAGTTACTTTCCGGTAGCACCAAAAAATTTTCTCTGGAACCCGCCTCGTAGAACATGTAGTCTGTGGCATGAAATCTTTACAGAACCAGTCTGTTGTTGTAATCCTTGTAACTACTGCAGTAAAGACACATTAAAAAGTGTTGGCACAAGACTATTTCATTGACTGACGAAGAACTTGAATAATTTTATTTACTGAATAAAGATTCAATATCTAGTCTACGAAGGCCGTTATCGACAAGACAAGGCAGTGAGACCACTTAAAAAGGCAGTGAGGCTACTAAACATTTATGAGGTGTAGTAAAACAAATACAGCATGGTTTATTTCTGGAAAGTAGTTGGAATTACTGATCCCTCGGTGTAGGTCAGCTTGACTACGTCCCGACGCAAAGTGGAGGGAGGTAGTCAAGCTGACCTACACCTCGGGACCAGTAATTCCAACTTCTTCCCCTCAAACCATGCTGTATTTGTATACTACCAAGCTATCGAGTACTACATGTACTTGTATCTGAGGATCGGCCCTTGGGAATGAGTACAGGTACCTGAGTCCAAGTACTTGGGCTTTCGAGTACAAGTTTTGAGAAGCCAAGTTTGAGTGCGTGGACCTTCAAGTACAAGTACAGGTGTGAGTACGTACAAGTGAAAACAATTAAAATCTCAAGTGATGAGATCTCACATAGTTGTACATATGTCTGTGCATAGAGCAACATAAAGAAAATTGATACTCTCCACAGCTCGTTACTCTTCCGTAAGTATCAATTAAATAGACTACGTGTGTCTCCAAATAAAGAGTACAAGTACTTTAAGGATGGAGCATGATTTCGAATTTGAATTGTTGAGCCTGAGTATGTTACTTCTCAAGTATGAGAACCGGACATTCAAGTCCAAGTGTTGTGATATTCAAGTAAGAGTTGGAGTACAAGTATTCACAAAAAAGGGTCCTACTTGAGTTGTACTCGAGTATAAGTAGGAGTACGATTACTACAAAACTGCCGATTGTCTATTAGCTAATTTTTGCTTTGCACCGAAATTTCAAATGCAATTATCCACTTAGCATTTCCATGAAAGTAAACTTTTATTAGGCCAAAAAAAAAATACTCGGTCTCTGGTCAGACCAAAGTTCCGGAATTGATGCGGCGAGGCGGCTTTTTTTTTTTTTTGGCTTTTTTTTTTTTTCAAGCTTGGATTGTACAGACAAGGTGGGATACTATTTTGCTTTTTTTGGTGTCCTCGTGTACATTGGTGTCCTCCATAATTTGCCTTGGTGCTCTAGATCATTTGCCTTGGTGCAATTCCCCATTCCTTGGTGCTCTTTGGTAAAAAAATTTGAGGAGGTGCGGCAATAGAGGGCGCTGTTGGCACTACCGTGGAACATTTTTGAAATAAAAAAGATTGATGCGCATGATTAAAATCGACGCGCGCGCTGACCAGAGACCGACAATTTTTTTGTTTTGCCTTAGTTAACCATGGCCAACATTGGCACTCAAACTTACTTCATAATTGGCTCTCAAACTTACTTCATGATTCCAGTTAGTAATACTAAGTTAACTAAGTTAGCATTCCCATGAGGACAATTCAAACTAAAGTCTCCGTTATCGTCACTGCGCAGGTTTCATGCGACACACGTACGGAGCTGTGGCATTGTACAGAGCTTCTGCGTCAACCTCGTTCCCGGAGAGTGGTCCACCTTCATCCCAGGGCCTCATCGACGCCGTCGTGTACACCGACCTGGACAGTAAGCCCATCGGGCTGACCAATGTGCTTACACCAGACACAGCCTCTGCTGTAAGATTTACTTTCAGATATTAGGTTTTGAATTCCAAATGAGTGCTTGCTGCTTTGTATTACTCTTGGAGGGTTTTTTTTCCCGTTGTTTTTCTTTTCAGTTGAAGAAACTGTTAACCAGGGCCACTGCTTAACAGTTACCAGAAAAGTTGTGCTTAGCATAGCAGAAAAATTGGCTAACCTTTAATCCTAAAGGGGCCGGGGGGGGGGGGGAATCAGCCCCCCTCCCTCGACTTTTTCCGCGATAGCTTTGAAAAAAAAATTGCGACCCGAGCTGTTGTGACTTTTAAGCCTCGAGCCTTGCGCATCTTTTGATACCAGAAACACAAAAAATTGCCCATATGCGCAGTGTATGAGTCTATTGGACCTTGGTGGAAATCAGACCAGGGCCATGGAGGAGGCAAAGGACCATTGTGCCAACCTAATTTTGTTCGGGAGGTCACAAGTTCATATTTTCTCCCCAGTCATTTTTGTTTTTTTTGTTCAACATTTGATACACAGATTGATTCCAGATCCGTGCAGCTGTCAGGTTTTTCACTGAGCCGCTGCCTATCGCCTGCTCTGCGCTCGAAAGCCCCCTACGCCGTCCGACCCCAAACCCCTCGGAGCTTCAATGACTGCCCTGTGTTCTCCAACGACATTATCATCAACGAGGTTAACGTGGAGCACCCGGGCCAGTCTACCCAGGAGGAGTTCATCGAACTGTACGACGGCGGAGTGGGAAACGTCAAGATGCGCTACCTGAGCCTGGTCCTGTTCAACAGTCACAGCGCCGACCAGTCCTACGTGACTGTGGATCTGCATGGCAAGCGCACTGACGCGAACGGCTATTTTGTGATTGGTGCGCAGGATACCGCAGGAGGTATATGTGAAAGATCAGTCACTTCAATAAGGCAAACTCTTTACTAATTTTGTAGGCTGCGCGAGAGCTATATCATAACATAAGCTAAGTGGGCTATATCTGTTTGCTGCCCTCATTGACGCACGTTCCCATTCTGAGCATTCTTGTGCTAGAAGTTCAGAAGTCAACCAACTGTGACTTTCAGAGATGGGGCAGGGACAACTGTCGCCCTGAAAGTGTGCCCCGTGACTTTTAACAAATTTGACAAGACATATTGAGGTTTGCTAAAATCTGGCAAGGTGACTCTTCAGTCCTTGGTCACTTCTGTTAGGGCCCCTCTCAAGTCATATCTGAGACGAGTTCCAGACAAGTTGCGGGTAGAAGCATTCACTTTGTCCGGAAGAAGCTTTGCGTTTGTTCCGGACATGTTCCGGAAAAAGTTTCATCAGCAATAATGATAACTACATTGCAATACTGATAACTTCATTGCAGGAAGATTGCGGGGAAGTTGTTCAGAATCTTGCAACTTATACCCGATACAATGTCCGGAACTTGTCCTGAACTCGTCCCAGATATGAATTGAGCCGGGCCCTTATTGGTCTGTGATAAGTGGAGCGGGGACGAATTGGGTTTAGGCAGTTGCCACCACCCCCCCCCCTTCCTGTTTGATCCCTGACCCCCTTCCAAAAAATTGTGTAAAAATGAAAACAGAAAGGACCTGAGGACAATTGGTAGCTATTTGATGTTAGTGCATTTAACAGTATAAACGGACTGGGGAAGGGGCCTGAAAAGCACAGCTTTAAACAGTACACTCACCACAGTTGCTTATTATGAACAACAATCTGTTTCAAATTACCGGCCATCGGCCAGACAGTTCCAGAAAATTTGGGGTACCATCAGATTATATTTCGTCCATTGAATTGATTTTGCAAAGCAAATCCGTACTGTGCTGACAGTAAATTTCTGTGGCTTTATTTTTCTAGTCGACCTCAAACTCAAGCCAAGAGTTACCGGCGGATTCTTGCAAGAGGGCCCCAACGCCATCGCCTTGTACCGCGCTCCAAGCGGCTCCTTCCCACACTACACTGAGGCCACCTCAAGGAGTCTGGTGGACGCTGTGGTCTACTCCACGGAGGACAACGCTCACAACTCTCTGGTAGACAAGTTGATGCCTGGTAATTTATTTATTTATTTATTTTTTGATTGCACAAAGAAACTATACTGAAACTGCATTCAAAATCCATGGCCTCCGGAGTACTATACATTGTGCAGTATCAACTGAAGCATCCACTCCTATGGGTCTGGAACCTGTTTTGACAAAGTAGATGTAAAGAATTTGTTTCCAAAATGCATTAAGAACCATTTGGTTACCTTTTAGAATCATGTACTCTCAAGTTTTTGCAAAGTCAGTTTTGACAGTTGTTATGTAGTTAACCCTTTATTCACTGTAGCGCCCAAATCCGCCCTGTCTGTTACTCCCGTAGCGCCCGAAACCACTCTATGGTTTTATTGAGTTTTCAGTGACTAAATACAGGGTGGATAAAAAAAAAACACGAAACCGAGATATTATTGCTAATTTGAACAGAAGTAGGGCACATGTGAATCAAAGGGAGATATTCTCTGTTAGGGTTGAATCTCCTATTTAAAATGACACCCTGGTCATGTCCTTACATTCACGGTTGACTGAGCAGTGACCAATTTTATGAAAGGGTCTATTTAGAGACTTGCGCCACTTTTCATGGTGAAACCTCTTTTTTTTCCCACCTGCCTTGATTGGCAACCATAGCCTTTCACTCTGTGACAATTGAAACTACAATTGAAAAGTGGCGCAAGTCTCTAAATAGACCCTTTCATAAAATTGGTCACTGCTCAGTCACTGTGAATGTAAGGACACGATCAGGGTGTCATTTTAAAGAGGAGATTCAACCCTAACAGAGGATATCTCCCTTTGATTCACATGTGCCCTGCTTCTGTTCCAATTAGCAATAATATCTCGGTTTCGTTTATTTTGATCCACCCTGTGCATTGTAATACAGTGCAGTCGAATACAATAAAGCAAAAAATGTAGTTTATTAATGGCTGCTGTACTGTGTATGTTCTGTAAGTTTTTATAGCCGTGCAACTTTTTTACTTACAATTTTATCAAATGTATGTATCATATTTTGGAACTAAACTCTTCATAGTTTCTGTGCCAAATTGCTGTCTGAAACTTACCCCTGGAAACTGGTTCCCCAGAGAAATTCTTAAATTTGCAAAACTGTGGTAAGAACTTGGCCAAGCCCTGTACTGGAATTCGCACCGTCTTCTTCTCACCACTTTTTAGGCCGATCTGTTGTCGTGGAGGATTCCAACCATGCTACTGGAGACGAGACCATCAATCGTTGCCTTGGTAACCAACGACTCAACTCTGACGTGTTCACCATGGGCTTGCCTTCCCCCGGTGGACCCAACAACTGTAGCGGCAGCTCTTCAGGGTCAGCCTACCCAGGTAGTGCTCGCGGCAGATTTTGCTTTTCTGACAGGGAGACGGGCTGGCAAAGCTTTCTTTTCTTTGCCTTCCGTCTCTACATCCCAGATTCCAATCCCACCAAGGGCAAGACATAGCGGAACATAGCGCTCATTTGCTTTGTTACAATTAGAAGTGTAGTAAAAACGCAGCAACAGGACCGTTTTAAAACGTTAAATGAAAAGTATATCGAGACCACAACGAAGAATATTTCTGGATCACGCGTTATTTGATATCGGAACTCACATTCTTTCAATTAGTAACAGACTTATTTTGTTTGTCATCTGACAATAAATTGCCCTTTCCAGTTAAAGGCAACACGTTTTCAGTAAAAGTCAATGACAAGGTGTGAAAAAACGTACTTTGCGCAAGAAAACCTGCTATAACTTCCGAAGCGTTTGTTGTCATCATTTGGATCAAACGGCATGTTAGAGTACGCGCGTCTAATACTTTCTCATTACATTCATGTAAAACTTATAGTGATTGGTCAAATGTAACCCATTGCCCTAGTCAATAGTAGTGTATTTCCAGCAATATACACCGCGTTTTTTTAACGCGAAATCCCGATGCGTGCTGTGTGCATGGACGCGCGCGCGCGTAATACGTATACAGTGCTCCCACACACACACAATGTAGGCATATGCATGTACAGTGCGCGTGTGTGCAGTCTGTGTAGCATTATTTGAGCGAGTGCTATGCCCTATGTCCCGATATGTATAGTCCATGCTTAAATTTGTGGGTATCCCTGGAACAGGAACCAAACAATCGGAGAAAAATTCTGAAAAATCCTGGAATTATGGGAAAGTCATGAAAAAAGTAATGGAATTTTGTTTTTTTACAAGGAGTCGTGGAAAGTTGATACTCCAAAAAAAAAGACATGGAAAAGTCATGGAATCCTACAAAACCCATATGTGATGATGCGTAGTGTTTGACTATGGCAGTCTTCCAGTATGCATTCCAGTTAATTATACTTCCTCGTTATGTATGTATGCTCTATACTTGTTCCATGTTCAGTGCACCATTGTATGCCTTTGTGGTGCTCAGTGGTCTTGTGTCAAACTGGAAGGCTAAAATGGGAGTCTCAGTGTGATGACAGGCCAGTGTATTGTAAATAGGCTCCTAAGGACCAAAACAGCTTAGGAATTGAAAAGCCTATTTTTGTCCAGGAAAAGTGATGAAAAAGTCATGGAATTTGATTTAAGATTTCTGTGGGAATCCTACTGGACTCTTTCTGGGGTTTACCTACGACTCCTAAAACTGGGTATTTCTTCATTGCCAATTCTTTTTTTGTCGACAGATTTTGTTCTTGCATTCGGAATATGAGACTCCCAAGGTTTTTGGCTGCACCTTCAAAATGCAAAACGGGAATGTTGATAGGGGATGTTTTTAGCAAACAAACAAATTCTTCCGTGTTCTATACTTGGGTGTGGTCCCCTCAGTGCCAAGACATCACATGCTTTTGCAGACTAATCTGAAAAGTGGTCATGCTCACTCCACCCCTTGGCAATGCGCAATCCAATGCAAGCATGCAACCGGTCTTAGGTTTATTATACTGGGTAAAAGCCGGTTTATAGTTGGTCGCCCGACTGTTAAATTGAAGCGTGATCATCTTACATGCAGTATATAGCAGTGCTAAGCATCTGCAGTTCCTGCACAGAAAATATAATGACAAATGCATCAAGTGTAAAGTCGGACATCAGTTTTGATACAGTAAGACTTTATTATAAGATTTTAGGCTTTGCATGGTGGAGTATCAGTATTGTTTTGGTTTGCGGTAACACCATGTGGTAATAACTACTGTTGCTCAGTAGATATTTAGTCCTGATAAGAACTTGTCCTGCTTATTATCAACCTTTGCTAAGTACTTTTTAGTTCTGATAGGAACAGTCCTGCTTTAAAGTTCTAAAAGAACCTGTCTTTGGTCTCAACGTTTCGACTAGCCTGCTCTAGTCATCGTCAGGAGACTGAGGAGAGTTGGAGATGCTGCTCCTTAAGTGCTTGTGTTGGTAGATTCTGATTGGTTGATTCTGATTGTTTGTCTGTTGGGCATTGTGTTGGAGTGGGATGCCCTTAGTGTGTCCTGCTCGCTCAGGTGTGTCAGTTGGCTGTGAGCCCTTGACATTGTGTTGCACCCGATTTCACGAAGCGCTGTGACACGTCGCAACTCGAGTTACGACGTGTAACACGTTGCAACTCGCGAGGCGTCGTATCATCCATTTCATGAAAGTTGCGATGTGTTGAACGCATCGTAAGTTCCTTGACAACGGCTTAAAACACTTCGCAAGTTACGACGTGTCTAGTGGTCATCACAAAATAAGAAGAGTCATTTTCTAAGCCAGTTTTATGCCATAAACATTACATAAACGAGATTATAATACTGAGGCAATGTGTGTAAAGTTGTAAATATAAAAATTTACCGAATAATTATGAATTAGACCGGAATATTGGAGTTGAAATTTCAAAGTAGATATACAGTCCAATGAGAGCTTGTTTTCCTTCAAAATTACATCGCACAGCCGCCATTTTGTTTTACGTTTTAACAAATTTCGAGCTGAGATCCGACGACTCTTTGTTGAATATCAGACAACTATTTACTTTACGCTGACTAAATACATAAAACAGTCACCGAGTTGTGCTATAAATGCACCTAGACGCGTCGCACTTACGACGTGTTTTGTGAAATGGATCGCAGAACACGTCGCAGCTGCGACGCATCGTAGAGATACGACGCTTCGCATTGCTGCGATGCATCGTAAGTTATTAAGCGTTTGAAGAAATTGGGTGCAGGAGTGGGATGCTCATTGTGTGGATGCCAGTTGTGATGCCTGTTGTAAAGTATGACTTAATTATCATGCTCTCTGTTTTTTTACCAGATATTTTAATCAACGAGGTCAATGTCGAGGTCACTGGTGGAGCTGGAAGTGGAGGTGAATTCATCGAACTGACTGATAAAGGTGTTGGCATGACTTTGCTGGATGGCTTCCTCCTGGTGCTATTCAATGGAGCCAATCAGGATAGGTCCTACTGGGAGATTGACCTCAGTGGATACCGGTGAGTGCAATCCACCTCAGTCGATACAGGTCATTGAGAGTGACCTCAGGTCAGTGAAAGTGACCTCTGTATGCAGATCAGTGAAAGTGACCTCAGTGGATACAAGTCACTAAAATTGACCTATGGATACAGGTGAAATTGATAGATAAAGGTCGGTGAAATTGACCTCAGTAGATACAGGTTGGTAATATTGACCTCACTGGATACGGGTCAGTGACGGTGTTGTAATTGATTGGATGCGCGATAACGAGCCTTGATGCCCGTTGGCGTGTTAATCGCGAATGTTCCAGGTGTGCCATTTCGTCGTTTTTTTCACATGACATTTGAAACGGAAATATTCATAAACTATAAGCAAATCACTCCTTATGTAAGATATACCTGTTCCAAAATTGCTAAAAAATAAATACAGTATATAACAGATGGTATTGTGTCATTTTTGAGAGATGTGGTCCTGAACCGATAAAAGAAATGTGGCATTTCATAGTTCATTATAAGCTAAAGATATTGTGCTTGGCGTTAACATGGTTATGAAGTTATTGTTATCAAAGTTCAATAATAAAGCCAAAAACGTAGGATCATGAATATTAAAAAATGTAATCAGCTGGTTTGACAGAATTCGACACCTGATCGAGCGCAGAGCCCTGCAAATTTGAAAGCCGCCGTGCGCGGCTAGTGAAGCGGTTATTAGCTGTCTGGGTCTTTTGACAAGTATTCATGGTAATTCCCACCCGTCCGGGCCGTTATTACGCGTCTAACCGGGAGTTTGGCTTAAGCCCTCTTCACACGACAACGAAAAAACATGTTTGAGACTCATTTTACGAGTGCTGATTGTTTATCTTATCATTACGCGCTCCACTACATTCGCAAGGCTTCACACGACAACGAGCGCAAAACCGAGATGGATCTTTGAGAGGACATATTGCGCAATTCGCTGGTTGCCACTACACTGTGGGACTTGCAATGATAAATGGAACTAGTACCAGTGCAGTAGCGCGAATTTATATCCCTGCAGTTGCAAACTTACCGACCGTAGAAACACAGAAAAATGGGGGAAGAAGCAGCCCACGAAAAGCAATGCCACGGAAGATTTCGACAGAAAAAGAAGACGAAATGCATGGCAATACCTTTCCAGGAAGGAAGCCTTTTTTTCTCGCTGAATTTTCAGCTGTCTCTTTTGTTTGTGGTGATGTAATGAGCTCAAGAAATGTATCAAGAACACAGAACAGCAACTTACGCATACTGGCGATTGTGTAGCGTAGGGCCCCTGCATGTTTTGTTTCGGTCAAATTAGAATCAAAAATGTTTTTTTATTCCTAAAAAATGACATTGCCAACCTAAAGCAGACTTCTCTCAATGTAATGGCATATTTGTTTTGGTAATTTTGAACAGTTTCTTGGGGTAGAAATGAAGATTTTCCCACGTGGTTTACGGGCCGGTTGGTGCCATGTAGCACGACTTGCGTGCTCGCGTACATTGCGCGGTGATTTCCATCTTTATTTTCGTGGTGCGTTTTGTTATTGTCATCGTCATTTACCCCCAAATTCCCTCAAAAATTCAAAACCCTGCCCTTTATCTATGACATACATGTATGTTGGATTTTGGAACCGGGCCTGGCACCCGTAGATACACGATCGCCCGCATACTGAAGTTCGCCATCTTTATTTGCCCACCACGTATAGCTAGCTAGCTGTACTCCATTTGGTCATGCACACGCACGTGCGGAGGTACGTTACTACGCATGCGCACAGGACAGTTCGCAAGGGACGTTGTACAATTCACAAGGTTCGGTTGCACACGAAGGTTTCGCATGCATTCCGTGAGAAAACTTCCGCTAACGTAATTTTTGTCGCAGGTCAGGACCTCCACCAAAATGTCTCAATGTTTGAGAGAAATTCACAAGGAAAGCTGGTCACTCTCAAGCATTGGTTTCCCTTCACACGATGGCCATTATGTAATATTTCTCAATCATTGAGAAAATCTCTCAAACATTGCGAGTTTTTTGGCGTTGTGTGAAGAGGGCTTTAGTCGTTAATCCTTGTGTGTAGGATCTGTGGTGAAATTATGGCCATTAAGGGTTTTATTTAGTAAGGCAGGGCTAAAGCAGTTTAAATTGAACAAACGTAGGGTTGCATTAGTTAGATCATTTTAGCACGGATATTTCAAAGGGAAATGTTTCCAAAGTCTTTCAGTTTTGTGCCTGAACAAATATATCAATATTTGTGGATAAAAAACATAGCATATGGGTTTTAATTTCAATGTATGCATAATCTGTGATGTTGCTGGCTTAACTGCTTTCTACATTCCCCATAAAAAAAACATTGCAAATTGTGGTCTGAAATTTAACAGACACAAGGATTGATAAGCAACTTCCAAAGTCCTTGCAATCATAAGCTCTAGGGATAACATATGCATGCCTATGCTGTAAAGGAAATGGTAGACTGCTCAAGCACACCATGTAATCATCCTTGAAATTTCAACAACAAAAAAAACCCATCTTTTCCTCATATTTCTTCGTTATTTTATCAGACTCAAGGTACTGATAACCAACTTCCAAAGTCCTCACAATCATAAGCTCTAGGGATATACATAACATAATGTATGCCTACACTGTAAAGGAAACGGTAGAGCGCTCAAGCATACCATGTATTCATCCTTGACTTCATCTATCTTTTCCGCATTATACTTGTAAATTTGTACATGCTTAAAGCCTATACAGGGCGAGTAAAAAAAACAAAAAAAAACAAATGGCAACCCCTATTTTTATAATCTATATTTTGGTACAAGGATCATTCATATCATGTACTTAGGTAGTAATGGACTTTTAAACACAAACACAGTCTTGTAATTTTGTCCATGGATCACAATAAAGTTAAGTGACATTTCAGCAAAATGAAAACAATTCACATATCAAAAAAAAACACATCAGATTATCATAACCATGATAACTGCCACTCATCATAACATTTGTTTACGTAACATTCTGCTTCCATTGTCAAAACAACATGCTTTGTAATGTCCAGAGTTTATAGTCTTGCCCTGCCTTCTACTTGGCTACCCCGGAGACTTTTGGTATTATTCTAATATTGTTTTCATGATACTGAAAACATGGTTTCATTTTTACTGAAATATCACATACCTTAAATGTGATCCGTGGATTTTAAAACGGTGCTTGTGTTCAAAATTCCATAACTGGAAAAGTACATGAGTGATTTGAATGATTCTTGTTAATTGGGCTTTCACATCGTAGACCTTAAAAGCGCTACATGCAGAACTTGATTGGCTTGTGGAGAAATCAAGATTTCCTGATTTTTCGCTGTGCAAGTCCGGACAAACACATTTAACAGCTAGCCGTGAGTGGGTCTGTATATCTGTCTGATCAGACCTGGGCCAATTACGCACAATGAACCATTTGCCGTATGGCCGTATTCGGAAATGCTAGTACTTATACTCGGAAATACAAGTACTCGTACTCCTACTCGTGCTCAGAAGTACAAGTACTTGTACTCATACTCGTACTCAGCAACTTAAGTACTCGGCAGTACTCGGTACTCGGAAAAAGGTACTCGACTACAACACTGGTCAGTGAAAACAACCTCAGTGAATGAAGGATCTTAGTGAAATCACGGATCCTACACACAAGGATGAACGCCTGTTCTGAGCTCTAGTACAAAATGCAATGAACGGAATTACCTTAATTGATTGGACACGTGATAACGGGCCTTAATACCTGTTGGCATATTAATCGCGATTGTTCCAGGTGTGCTATTTTGTTGATTTTTCGCATGACATTTAAAACGGAAATATTCATAAAACTTTTTAAGCAAATCACTCCTTATGTAAGATATACCTGTTCCCAAATTGCTAAAAAATAAATACAGTATATAACAGATGTATTGTGTCATTTTTGAGAGATGTGGTCCCGAACCGATAAAAGATATGTGGCATTTCATAGTTCATTATAAGCTAAAGATATTGTGCTTGAATAATATGGTTATGAAGTTATTGTTATCAAAGTTCAATAATAAAGCCAAAAACGTAGGATCATGAATATTAAAAAATGTAATCAGCTGGTTTGACAGAATTCGACACCTGATCGAGCGCAGAGCCCTGCAAATTTGAAAGCCGCCGTGCGCGGCTAGTGAAGCGGTTAAGCTGTCTGGGTCTTTTGACAAGTATTCATGGTAATTCCCACCCGTCCGGGCCGTTATCACGCGTCTAACCAGGAGTTTGGCTTAAGCCCTCTTCACACGACAACGAAAAAACATATACCTGTTTGTGTTTTGAACACAAACACCGTTTTAAAATCCACGGATCACATTTAAGTTTTGTGATATTTCAGTAAAAATGAAACCATGTTTTTATAACTGGAAAAGTACATGAGTGATCTGAATGATTCTTGTACTAAAAGAAAGCTTATTAATTAGGCCTTCACATCCTTGACCTGAAAAGCGCTACATGCAGAACTTCTTAATAAAATAGGAGGCGCCATTTGGGTTTCCTTTTTTTTTTTTTTACTCACCCTGTATGTGTACACTCATTTTTGCCTGTCCCAGATTGCCGGCCTATCTCATAGGCGTAGCCAGCGGGGGAAGGGGGGGGGGGTATTTAACCCAACCCCAACATTTTCTAATGACTGCCCTCTTCCGTTTAAATGCCCTTTTTTCACCAGCGCCTCACCAGCTCTCTCCCCCCCCCCCCCCCCCCCCCCCCACCATACTATTTGATTTTACGAAGGCCAAGTGTCTGGAGAAACAAAACAGCGTGTCTACATTTCAGCACGGATTTGCAAGTTCCCTTTTCAAGAAACGGTTACCACCACAATAAAAACTACCTTGCTACGCCCCTGTGTTTAACCTTCTCACTGACTGACTCACTTACTGACATTTGTGAGCCGGGCAGTGCTATCATATAGGATTACCCCTGCACCGCTAGTGAATGTACCAGATTCATGAAAAGCTTCCAGTGAATAGCCATTGTGAATAAATCTAATAGAAGTTTGT